ACCCCCTGGACAAAGCGGCGTCTGCCGCGTGCACTTGCCACGCCTGTCGGGGCTTGTCCCCGCCGTTCGCCGCGACCCCACCACAGTCGGAAGCCGCGGCAAACAGCAGAGACCTAACGTTGAGGCGCCGCAAAATTATCGGCACACTCGCAGTCTGCCGAGGACCCTACCTAGCCAGCAAGGACGCGATGCCCGACGCCTCCGCTCGCGCCTCGCGCCCCGCCCAGTTAATTCAGACGGTGCACCGTGGATCTGGAATCCGAAATCTGTGGCACTTCGTAGTCTTCATGAGTTTCTCGATCGGCAGTCTCTTCTTCTTCTCGCGCATCACTCCTCTCGCACTCCTGCGACGTCCGTCTCGCCCCCCCCCGGCGCGGCGGCGGGGGCGCTGGCGCCCCGGGGACCGGAGGCCCCCCCGGGGTCTGGCAGGACTGCCTGTCCATTCGAAACTGTCTCTTGCAGTCCCGGGTATCCTTCCAAGTCTTCTTCCGCTCCTACTCCAATGTCGCCGGTGAATCTGGCAACGCGCGCTCGTCTACGTTGGCCTCTGCGATGGGCTCTAGCAGGCGCGCCTCCTGCTCGGGTGCCACGGCAGACGCGTCGCTGCACTCGTAGAGGTCGCCCTCGTCTTCGCGCGCGGCGCGCGCCGCCGCTGTGGCCTTGCCCCTGGCGCCCAGGTGCCCGTTGCGAGTCGCGCCCATCTCTCTCGCTGCTCCGATCACCTCCTCGTAATCCTTGGAGCCGCGACTCATATTCTTCAGCATCGGCATGCCGCTCTCGTCCAAGCCGATGGCCTCCTCGAGGAAAAGATTCTGGCTGGCCCTTGAGCCTCTCGAAGTTCTGGTCCATCATCGAAGTGTAGCGGTGTAGGTTGACAAAATATCGTCCGGCTTGCGTCAATATCCAATCAGGCATTCACGGCCAACGCGTCTCTTCTCGCCGACTATTCGCTGCCCGCTCATGACGTCCAGCCTCTTGACGACGACCATTGGTCCGCCCGTCGAACGCAGCACTTCGCCTGAGATGTCCTCGAACTTTCGCTGCAGATCTTCGTCTAAGACTCTGGGAATCTTGTCAGCTCACTTTTTTCGGCTGCGCAACCGTCTGGTCTAGCCATCGAATCGCTCTGCGTCGCCACAATCGATAGTCCGACCAGCCCATGAACGCCTCTGGATCCGTGTAATCTTCCTTGCCCCATTTCTGATCTTTCTATTCTGACCAGGTCGCTGAGCTCCATCTCTCCCTGGATGCCCCGTTCTGGTCGCCCTTCTCGTCTTTATTCCTCCTGGCCTTCGCCCGCTCGCACCACTCCTCCTGGGGCCACTCCTTCCTCTGATTTCTCTGGCTCTGCGACCGGCTCTGGCCCCTCCACGAGTCGTCCTATACCCGCGGATCGCGAGCTCGCCGGTCAGCGCCATCTCCTTCACCGCTCGCGCCGTCCTTATCGATCTTGCCCTTGCCCAGGTACTTCAGCAGCAGAGCCTCCGTCTGGTCCAGCTGCCGCTTCATCATCTGATCGAGCTCCTGCTTCTGCTCGCTTTCGAACGCCTCCGCGTTCGCCTGCCGCTTCCTCATCTGCTCGAGCTCCTGCTTCTGCCCACAATGGAACGCCTCCGCGATCCCTGTGGCCTCAGACGTTGCCTGCAGACCTGGGTCGTCTGTCCTGCTCTCTCCCGCCGTTGCCATGCTTCGGATCGTCCGACATCGTGCCGCGGACCGTCTCGCACTCCGCTGGGAGTGTCACGCCCGTGCTACCACTGACGCGCGAAAACACATCGAGTGAAATCCAGTAGGATGGTGGCGGGGAGAGCTTTTCCCTATGCGCGCAACAACCTCGGGCCGAAGAGGGCGCCCACGGGTGAACACAACACCGAAAGTCACTGCAGGTAGTTCAAAATCCGCCGACCCCTTGGGGATCATCGGCGTGTGAGATGCTTCCCCCTCCCCAAACCCCTCCCCCGGGAGCCCGGTCCGGTCGATTTGGAGGGGGGGGGGGGGTCCGGCGCGAGCGCAGCACGGCCGGGACGAGCGGTTCACGGGGCTTTTCCGGGCCCAAGAGGGCCTCAAGACGGGCCAAGAAGCCCCCAAGAGGCCTCCAAGACGGCCCACGAAGGCCCCGAGACGCCAAACGACCGCTCCAAGACGCCCAAGATGGCCCCAAGACGGGCCAAGAGGTCTCCAAGACGGCCCCCGAGGTCCCAAACAAGCCTCCCAAGAGGACCCCAAGAGTCTAAAATTGTTGATTTTCCATAGTGTTTTTCGATGTTTTTTGCTTTTCCGCCTTTTCGGCTTCCCGACGCTCCAAGACGGCCAAAGAGGCCCCCAAGAAAGCCCCAAGATGGCCCAAGAGGCCCCCAAGACGGCCTCCAGACGGCCCAAGACGGCCCCAACACGGCCCAAGAGGTCCCCAAGACGGCCCAAGAGGGCTCCAAGACGGCACCAAGAGGGGCCCAAGAGGGCGACCAAACATGTTGAAACTCTAGCTTTCTGCCCCCAGGAGCCCCAGGGGGCCCCAAGAGTGCCCCAAGAGGCCCCCAGAGGCCCTCACGCGGCCGCCCAGACGCCCCAAGGAACCCCCAAGAAGCACCCCAGAGGCTCCGAACCGGCCCCCAAGTGGCTCCAAAACTCGCTTTTCACCCCTTCGCAGCTTCTACTCCCCCCAGATTGGCATAAACAAGGGGTCGGCGGTGTGGCGTAAGCCTAAGAATCAAATGGACCGCACACACTGCGTGAACTCATTTACTCACGAACTCCCGGGCGGCGGGGCGGCCACATAACGAACCGCAGGTACCCGCGGCCGTGCCAGCCGCCGCCCCCATCAGACACTGCCACCAGAAGGGCACTGGCAGGCAGCGCACTTGAGCAGAGGAGACGGGGTGCTTACGCCCCCGGCCAAGGACTGCGATGACCCCGAAGTCGCAGAATCCTGTGCCCGCAGAGATCGACGGCATCTCGGGCTCGAGCCACCGCCTCACGGAGGTTTTGTTGGCGAACTGTTTGCTCCTGACCTCGTGCAGCCGCCAATCCATGGCGCCCTCGCAGGCCCTGGCGATGCGCATAGCTTCGGCGACGGCTTCGGCAGTCTCGTCGGGGTCGCCCCGCGCCCAGAGCGCGAGGTCGTCAACGTGGACGCGGCGCCGCAAGCCATCGTGCACCCGCCCAGCACGTTGGTGCCATGGCCGGACAAAAACGCTAAGCGCGAAGACGGCCACCGCGGCCCAAGGCCCCGTCGACGCGTGACCCACGAGGTGGCGAGAAGTGGGCCGCGCAGCCACTCAGGGACGCCAGCGCGCGTGAGCACCTGACTCAGAAGCCGAAGGCTGACGTGGTCGAAAGCCTTCCTCCGGTGTGCAGTTATGGGGGCATCGACCAAAGGCTGTTCCTTGTTACGGACGAGTGTGCTTGACAGTGTCGTATACGACCTGGTTTTCAAGAGCGTCTGCGACCTGAGTCAGCTGGCCTGGCCAAGGCTGCTTCGAGGACGACACGTGCCGGTATGTCACCCGCAGAAGCCCAAGGGCAACTACTATTTCCACCACGGTGAACTCCTACAATATACTGGGCATCTGCACGGGACCCCCGATCGTCTACTACCCCTGCTACTCCTGCAGCGCGGGCTGTCTAGAAGACAATATGTGCCGATGCTGCCCGATATCCCGGATACAGACGGCAATATGATCAACGACCTCAGCTACCCTGGCCAACGCTGCTTCGAGGCCCACATGCAGTATGCCCGCGGAGTCGGCTCTAGCTGCTGCCAAGCGTCTACGACCCTGCAGCGTCCAGGCACGCATGCGTAGAGCAGCTTGAACGCGCGTGCCTATGGATGTGTACACTCAAGTACCTGCCCTCGTGCCAGTCTGGTCAAGTGCAGATTCTCGTGAGACTTCCACAAGCAACCATACGTTGATATGTACTGGCATGCGTTGTCCTTTGTGGTGGGTGCACGTTGCGGGTCTTCCCCGCTTCCCCCCCTCGCTTGCCCTCCTACAGCGGTCCTGGCCGCCGAGTACCGTGTCTCTGCGTCCGCACCTGCTCTCCCGCGGGGGTCTGGTCAGGTGCACAGTCTTGTGGAGCTTGTCGTCATGAACGGAACTGGATGGTCCCTCTGTGGTCCTCCAGTTGCGCCGGCTGCCACCACGCGTTGTCAGGCCCTGTCCTTGTCGTGCCGTGCACTCTGCATTGCAGGTCCCCCCGTTTCCCGCCTCTCTCCAGCACACGTGGTCGCGAGCTCTCCTGCAACCGCCTCTGCGTTTTAACATGGAGCCGCTCTGTGGCATGCAGGCGTCTTTCTCACTTTTGAGCCCCTGAGGCCCAGCAACCGAAATGCCTCTTCCCCTAGCCGACGCTTGCGTGTGAACTGCAGCCTGTGTCCAAACGTGTTTCTGCAGTGAGAGGCTTCTCCACGACCCTCCCTCCTGCCCAGCGGGGGAACTCCCCTGCCAACACGCTCTCCCGCTCAGGTGAAGCGACCCTCGAGACAACACATCGTTTTTTTCCTTGTCGCGCGCTCTCGTGATCACAAAGCGCGGCATCGAGTCCAAGCCACCCATCACCACCACCATCACCCTCCTGCTCCTCCCTAGAGGTCAGAAATCCACCCCCATAATCCATAAGATTCACCCCGACACGCGAAGTCGTTTAGTAAACGTGCCCAAAGACGGAATCGGACAGGGCAGGGCTGCTTGGTAAACGCCCAGGGCCGTTGAGCAAACGCCAATTGTCCGGTCCGGGAGGTTTTTTCCGCCCTTGACTCCCCCCCTCCTCCCCCTCCCCCTCCTCCCCCTCTTCCCTCCTCCTCCTCCTCCTCCCCCCCTCCCCCTCCTCCCCCTCCTCCTCCTCCTCCTCCCCCTCCTCCTCCCCCTCCTCCTCCCTCTCTTCCCCGCCCCAGGCCGTCCGTGCGCAGGAATGCAAAAAGGACCTGCCGCACCGCGTGCGAGCACAAGCCCGCCCCTCTGTGGCCGCACCCGACGTCGGACGACGACCCCCCGACGGCTCGCCTGGCGGCGGGCAGTGCTACAGCTCCGAGAGGAGGCCCCGTAGATGCCGCCACCAGGCGGCGCGCTTCTGCTGCCTCGACCAGCTGGGCGCGCTCTCACCAGTCGCCCCAGAACGTTCGTCGTCGCCGTCGTCGTCGCCGTCGCCGCCGCCGTCGTCGTCGTCGTCGTCGTCGTCGTGAGAGGGAGAGTGGGAGCGGAGCAGGCCACCTGTGAGCGCGCCTCATGCTCAGCATGGGCTCTCAGGCAGCGTCGCGGCACACCCCGCGCGCGCCAGAGAGAGGGGCGAGAGGCAAGCTAGGCGCGCTGGCGCCGTGAATCCCTCCTCCTCCTCCTGCTCCTCCTCCTCCTCCTCCTCCTCCAGCTCCTCCTCCTCCTCCTCCTCCTCCCTCCTCCTGCTCCTCTCCTCCTCCTCCTTCTCATCCTCCTCTCCTCCTCCTCCTCCTCCTCCTCCTCCTCCTCCTCCTCCCTCCTCCTCTCCTCCTCCTCCTCCTCCGGCTCCTCCTCCTCCGGCTCCCTCCTCCGGCTCCGGCTCCTCCTCATCCTCCTCCTCCTCCTCCTCCTCCTCCTCTTCGACCGCGCCCTCTCGAACGAGGGGGCAGCGGAGTCGGAGGGGTGCCCAAAAAACGGAGAGCGCGGGAAGGTGAGCGGGGAGGGGATGGGGCGGTGGGGGCAAGCTGCTCGGCGCCACTCCCCGGGGAAGGGAAGTGAGAAAGGGGCGGGCCTTCTCAGAAGGCCCGGCAGTCCCCCGGCCTTCTGAGGAGGGTCCGAAGCCTTCCTCCGCAGGCACAGAAGCATTCTCAGAGGGCGCAAGGGCTTCTGAGAAGTCCCGCCGCCTTCTGAGGAGGCCTTCTCCCTCTCGTGTCCCCCCCTCGGCCGCCGCCGAACTGCTGCTGGGTGCGCTCGCGCAGTGCTTGGCGTCCTACCCTGTCCTCCTATCCCCCTCCGCGGCGTCGAGCCCCTATCCATTCGCAGAGTCGGGCGTCGGGAAAGGGCATGGGTTTCGAGAGGGCAGCCTGATCGAAAAGGCACGCCAAAGCCACTCTGGAGCGGCACGGGCTTCCCGGGACTGGCCTAAGAACCCAGACATCAAGCCTCACCTTGCCCGCTCAGGCCACACGGCTTCAAGGTGGCCGCTTACTCAAACGGTCCAGACGCATCGCACGGCAACAAAGGAACCTCAAGGGAAACGGGAACTGGGGCAGAGGCGGAATGAGAATTCCCGATGCTCGGATCGGGACGTCCCGCGACGCGGCGAGCGAACCCTGAATAAACGAGATGAGGAAATGTGGCCAATACGATATGGCTGGACGCGGATCGTGGGTGTTCGTCGAGCTGGTTAGGGGGAGGCCATGGTCGCCAGGGCGGCGAAGCGAAGAGAAGGGAGGGCACCCAGAGTGGCCGGAGCCACCCGTGGAGACTGGCAGGGGGGACAGAGGACGATCAGGACGACGAGGACGGGGACGAGGAGGCCATCGACGCCACCTACACACGTACCCGTTGTTCACGCCCCAACCCCATGATGGGGCAGGATGGGGGGGACGTGGACACAAGTCTGGCACCCGGGGGCCAAGTACTTATCCACGCCCTACTGCCCCCATTAACGTCGAAGCGGGAGGCAGCAGCAGTCGCACGGATAAAGCGTCGACTCGCCGCCTGCGGGCCAACGCCCCCGACCCAGGCCGGAGAGACCAAAACCAACGTGGCGGTGCCGCCCGCAGCCACCTTCGCCCTGCCAGAGCGGTCGCGGCCTTCAAAACAACTCGACGTGCTGCTACCCCAGAAGGAGAACAGTGGAAAACCCTGCCAGGAAACACCCTGCTTGCCTCCAGGGTGCCCTGGTATCTTGAGTTTCGATGGTTTCGCGATGGAAAGCGTGACGTCCCCACGCCAAAATCAACGGACGTCGCTGCCCTCCCTGCGGGGCCTCTCCCCCGTCAGCCTCCGGAGCTCCTCCTCGACGTCAGCGCTACACCTGGCTGAAGCGCTGCGCCGCGCACTTCCATAGCACATCGTCAACCTGCTGCTCCTCCTCCTCCTCCTCCTCCTCCTAGTATTCTTCTTATTCTTATTTTTATTATTCTTATTATGATTATGAATTATTCCTATTCGTCTGATCAGTATTATTCTTATTGATTGTATCATTATTATTATTAACAGTCTTCTTGTTATTCTTCTTATTCGTCGTCTCCTTATTTATTATTAATATTATTATTGTTATTGCGATTACTATTATTATTAGTATCAATATTCTTATTGTTACTATTATTGTTGTTAATCTTATTATAATTCGTCTGCTTATTATCATTCGTCGTTGTCTTCTTCTTCTTCTTCTTCCTCCTCCTCCTCCTCCTCCTCCTCCTCCCCTCCCCTCCCTCATCGCCTATCCCCTCGCTTCGCCTTTCTCGCCCTGCTCCACCTCCTGTTTGGTCTTCCTCCTGCTCCTCGAGCTCCTCCTCCTCCTCCTCCTGCTCCTCCTCCTCCTTCTCCCCCACCTTCTCCTCCTCCTCCTCCTCCTCCTCCCTTCCTGCCTCCCTCCCTCCCTCCCTCCCTACTTTCCCCCCTCCCATCCCTCATCATTCCCGTCCTCCGCCTCCTTCTCCAAACAACCTCCTCCTCCTCCTCCTCCTCCTCCTCCTCCTCCTCCCCCTCCTCCTCCACCTCCTCTTCCCCCGTCCCGCGCCCACTCCCACTCGCCTACTACGAGTTCACAAGTCGCCTTCCTCATCCTCTCCACTTTTTCCCCATCCTCCTTCTCCTAGCCCTCCTCCTCCCTATCCCCAATGTCATGGCCCTTGTCCAGAAGCCTCATACACGACTGTCCCAGTAGTTGCGCTCTCCATAGCCTCGCCGAGACGCGTCCTGCAGGTTATGCATACACGTTGGTGTGCAACGCATGCCCAGGGATCGCGATACCTCGACCATTGTCTCGACACCAAACCACCCACACATGACATGAAAACCCGCCGCCGCGACGGAAGTATTCATTGGGGAGGGCCCTCAAGCTCCAAGTACTCCTCAATGTCAGATCGTAAATGCTCTTGATGTGTGCCAGCGCTGATCCCAACCAGTGCGTTGGGGCAATATTGATCGGTATCGCATATGGTGCAACCGATGTGGTGCAATATATGTGATACAGCTTGGGTCCTGCAGTAGCTGTAGAGCAAGCTATGTGATGCAAAATATCTGGTGCAAGCAATGTGCATCATGTGTGGTGTGAGCCATGTGGTGCACTATACGGGGAACATGCAAATTGACAAACTATCAAACGGTGCGTTGCAAGCCATGTACTTGCATTCCGTGCATCATGCAACGTGTGTGGTGCACGCCACGGGCTGCAAGCCACGGGTTGCAAGCGAATTACGCGAGGCGTGTGATCAGCGGCCGAGCAGCAGCAGCTGCGGGCCACGCCGAAGCAGCGGGCCACGCCGAAGCACAGCGAGGCACGGGGCAGCGAGAGCGCGCCGGGGGAGCCACAGTCCTGCCGTGGAAGAGTCCGCGTGTGCGTGCCGGGCCTGCGTGCGCGTGCGCCACTTGTGAGGTACACGCTGCGGGACGTAATCTGGCCGGCTACACGCCAGAGCGGCCCTGGGCAAGAGCGACCCTCGGTGCGCGACTGAACGGGGGGGGGCCGAACCTGGGCGCGCAAGCCGCTGCTATCGCTTCGTGTGAAGCGATCGGTGGGCCCCACTCGGCCAACACAACAGGTCACTTCGGCGAATAGGTCACTTTTACGTCTAGTCGATCTGGGGGGTGCAAGCTAAGTGGCGCCCCCCGGCGGCCACGATCAGGCACGATCCGGCCACTGGGAGCCCACGGGAGCCCAACCGGCAACACAGAACTCCGACAGACCCACCCGATACGCACGGGGCGCCCACGAGGCGCGGCCATACCGACCAGCACCAGGTGAAACCTCGGCATACCAATCCAGTTACTTCTCGTACAGTGGAGGTCAGTCCACAAGAAACCTGCCACAAGCAACCCAACCCTGAGACCGCAGGATGCCCATGGATTTAAGGTGTGGGAACGTCCCGCTTTCCACAGCAAAAGCATCGAAACCCACGAAACCCAGGGCACCCTGGAGACAAGCAGGATGCTTCTTGGCATGGGCCTCCACTGTACAACCCCCTGTGCGAAAAGCAACTGGTGTCTGGTGAGCCCCCTGGCCCCCCATTTTCAATGTGGATCGTGCGACCGGCAAGGTTCGAAAGAACATATCGGCACCGCACTGAACGCGCCGATCTGTAGATCGAACTTCGCCTGTCGCAGGACCAACATGGCGGGGCCTGGGGGCTCGCCAAACACCAGTTGCTTTTTGCACGGGGTTTCGAGTAGGGGATCGACAACATAATTGATTTGCCCAAGAACTGCTTTTTCAATCGAATCTACGGAATTACGAAATTTGCTTCGTAGATCTACGACCATTCTACGCATGTTCAATAGACTCGACAAGAAAATCAATTTTGGGGTAAATCGATTATGTAGTCGATCCTCTTCTCGAGGGTTGTAGGGACAAGGAAAAGGGACACCACCACCACCAGGGACCACCAGCGGAAGGAGTGTGGTCCCCCTCCTTCTCGCCCGAGGCATCCCCGATCCTCAGCGTGGGGAGACATCGTGGACCTCTTCGCTGCAGGTGGTCCCCCGGCGGGGGTGGTGTTGCTCCTCCTTCCGCCGATCATCAGGACAAGTAACCACCGACAAGTGCAAACATAGAGACCTCGGTCCGAGTAGATGGGGTCGGAGGATCGCGCCGCATCGCCAATGCATCGGCGATGCATCGGCGACGTCGGCGACGCATCGGCGTCGTCGGCGTGGAGAAAATCGGGTTCCGCATCGAGCCGCATCGTCGATGCATCGGCGATGCGGCGCGATCCTCCGACCACATCTACTCCGACCCCACCTAGGACGCCTAGAGAACACTGTTTGTGGAAAGAAACCCATATCCTCAGCTCAACAGCGTTCCGTGCGCTCCCATGGCTTGGGTCATGACCCCTCCCAAGGCCCTGGTCGGGTCGTATCGAATCCGAACTCCCAACATGCGGCACAATTGAGTCCCAGGGGGCCGTCCCGGAATCGCCTTTGAGGCCTCGCCTGAGAGCCGTCTTGGAGGCCCGGGGCCAGCCCAAGAGGCAAAAATTATTCCTCGCAAAGAATGCGAAAGGCCCAAAGAGGGGCACCCAAAGAGCTGTACCGATCATGCAACGACCCTGGACATGACAAGGTGCCGCCACCAGCACAAGTACATAGTGAATGACTACTATACGATCAAGATTGTGTCACGGAGCAGGGTCGCGGATAGCGGGCCTCTGCTCAACGTTGCTTGTCATTTTAACACTTCCCTGCAGCCCGCAGGAATGTTGCTTCGACCGACGCCGAGGCTCTGGTCAACCGCGGCGCGTTGAAATTTTGCTCGCACCACAGAAGGGCCAGGAAAACGAACAGCGCGGGAAGGCCGAGCAACAGGTCAGGAAGGAGGAGCAGCGCCCCCTGGGGGAACGCGCAGCGGCACCAAAGAGAAACACGCGCAAGCGAACGGATAACCTGCACGGCATGGCAAGGCATCTGATTGTTTGCACAACGCGATGGGCCAGCGGACGCCGACACGTCTGGAGCTGGTGAAGCGGATGCGTGGCGCGCGCGTACACGAATGGAAGCCCGTGCAGGGAGAGGCGACGAGAGGAAGCAGCCTCAGAGGCAGGAGAAGGAGGAGGAGGAGAAGGAGGAGAAGGGAGGAGGAGCAGGGAGGAGGCGGAGGAGGAGGCGGGCGGGGAGCCCAGGAGCGCAGCCAGCGCGCCGCGAGGAAGGCGCGGTGTCAGCACAGGCGCGCGGCAGGCCCCGCGCGCGCCACGGAGAAGCTCGAGATCGACGCCTCAACGCTCGTGGTGAGGTGGAGGAAATCCCTAGACGGGCCAAGGAGGAAGCTGCGATCCACAGTGGAGGAGGCCTGGAAATTGCCACCAACACCAGCACAGGGGATTGCCTCCACAGGGGGGAAGATGATCCTAGATTTCGGTGTCGGTGGAAATATTTCGGTCACCTTGGAAGCCATACTATTACCACCATCGCCGAGATCGGGATCGTCTTCCCTCGGTGGAGGCACACCGCCGATCTTGGTGCTGGTGTCAACGTCTAGTCCTGCGATCTTGGTGTTGGTGGTTCCACAAGAAACCTGCCCCAAGCAACCCAACCCTGAGACCCCAAGACGCGCATGGATTTTAGGTGTGGGAACGTCCCGCTTGCCACAGCAGAAGCATCGAAACCCAAGAAACCCAGGGCACCCTGGAGGCAAGCAGGGTGCTTCTTGGCATGGGCCCCCACTGTAAGGCTTGGGTTGGAATTTTCCTCGAGAAGCCCTTGTGGATCTCCCCACGTTTCGGTCCGGCTAGGGCTCCCTGCCATCTGCGCAAGGGGCTTCTTCGAAGGGACCACGGTCGGGATCTTAGACAAAGCTGCACCCCACATCCACTGAGCGGTCGCAGCCTTCTCAAGAGACCGCACCAGCCCCCTCCCACTACCCCCTTCTGAACGCCATCAACTCTTCCGTGTCGGTTTTTGCGCCCGTCAAAACTCCGCGCCCAGGGCGCTGACAGGGAGCGAGAGGGAGCGAGGGCGACGACGACCACGACAACGACCGCCACCACCGCATCGACCGCGTCAGTTGCTCAAGACCATCCTCGGGGCCCCATGTCTCGAGCCGCGGCCAGCCGTGGCCACGAGAGGCTCCGTCCGGGAGGCCCAGCAGGAAGCGCGACGACAACGAAAACGGAGACAGCCGTCGACCTCCGCCTGCAGAGGTCTCCGGAGATCTCCGAAGGTCCCCAGGCCTCTGGAGGACCTCGAGCCTCAATCCTCGACGACGACGCTCCCCAGACCTCTCCCGCGGAGCGTCCCGACAAGGACTCCGAAGTGAGTCCAGCCTCGAACCTCGAGCCTCGAATCTCCATCCTCGAGCCTCGACCGACGGCGGCGGCACGGCGGGATCAATCGGCATCGAATGTGGAAAACGGATGAGATTAGGTCGGACGTGTCCTCATTCAGGCGGAGTTTGGACGAAACATAAAAAAACTTGCAAACATACGCAAAACAAATCAAACATGAATAATAGGACATCGTCCCCAGACTGTTTTAAACCAGTTTTCAATATTCCTCGTGTAGAGGGACACGCCCGACCTAAGGATGGGATCGAACGATGCATTCGATGGGGCCGCATCGGCACGGAGTCAACATCGAATCGGATCGGCCGCGCCAGTGTACACGGCAACACTGCGCGAGCATCGGGCCGTCGGAATACTTTCTCCGAATCGACTCGGTCCGGGCCGACATGAGCCGACATCGAAGCGGATCGATCGGATCGAGTTGAGCCCGAATCGGGGGCGCTCTGCCACGAGACAGCGCACACCCGAGCCAGTAAGGCCAGGCAGCGTTCTGCAGGACCCTGCAAGATCCCTCGGGACCCTGTGCGCAAGCCTGGGTCAGTGCACCCCTGGCTCTGAAGGATCCTGCAAGATCTGGCGCTCTGGCTGGCCCCCGCTTGCTAAGACGAAACTAGGACGAAGACAAAATCTCGTAATAATAAATCCAGAATTTCTGAGATCCGGCGGCTCTGGAATATGTCTCAGGCACCGCGGCCTTCTCAGAGCGTTCTGGAACGCAGCGACAGCGTTCCGGAACGCTCTGGAACGGATATATCCTCGTCATGGCCCCGCCCAACATCGCAAAAAAGACGACCAAACCCCGGACCCCATCTTCCTGCGCCATTCTTCGACTCGGAGCGATCCGTGAGGGCCCCGGGGCACGAGATGGAGCGACAACGCCCGGCTCGAACAAAATGGAGTCGCCAGGATCTCAGGGACATCGTTTGCACTGACCCCCATCCGACGATGATGGGCCTGTTTTCCACTACGACTGCCACAAATTAGAGGGGAAGGGACGGAGGCTGAGAGCAGGAGGAGGAAGAGGAGGAGGAGAAGGAAGAGGAGGAGAGGAGGAAGGAGGACCCCCTCCCCCCTCCCTCCCCCCCTCCTCCTGAAGGCAACGCGACCCGACGAGGCTCCCGACCCGCAAGGGGGGGCGTCGGAGCCGGCGACCGCACGCCGCAGAGCTCGGTGAGGCGCGCCGCCTGCCGCCGCGCGCACGGGGGGCGGGCGCGGGTCTCTTCGGGCCCTCGTCGGCCTCGTCGGCCTCGTCGGCCTCGTCGTCGTCGTCGCCGTCGCCGTCGCCGTCGCCGTCGCCGTCCGCCGTCGCCGTCCGCCGTCGCCGTCCGCCGTCGCCGTCCGCCGTCGCCGTCGGTCGTCGGTCGTCGGTCGTCGGTCGTCGCCGATGCCTTCGCCTTCGCCGTCGCTGTCGCCGTCGCCGTCGCCGTCGCCGTCGCCGTCGCCGTCGTCGTCGTCGTCGTCGTCCTCCTGTGCGCTGCACACGGTTGGCTCCAGAGGCTGTCACGACGCAGCCGCCCCCCCAGTGCGCCGATGCCCCTGGTGGGGGCTCGTCAAACTGGAGCATCTGTACGTAAAACCAAACTGGTGAAAATATCCGGCACCCACGACAGGGCCTGGGTAGCCATGTCCCCTCTGACTCTGCACCCTGGAGGGGGGCGGGAGCAGAGAAGAGAGGAGGGCGGCACATACTGGCATCCTCCACCTCCTCCTCTTCCTCCTGCTCCTCCTCCGCCTCCTCCACCTCCTCCTCCTCCTCCTTCTCCCAATTCCTTTCCCTTATAAACAACTCCTCCCAGTCGCACTCCGAGGCTAGTCGAAAGGGCGGGCCAGGCGTTTCGCCTGAGACTTCCTTACCATTTATGACCCTGAAGCTTGACAGTCAGTTGAACACATTTTACGGATTCAGGGCGGGCCGTTTTCAGAATGTGGCTCTCGCCTTAGCGCCGGGCGCAATCGTCTTAAAAACTTGCAGGAGCTTCACGGATTAAGGGCGCGTCGTTTTCAAAATGTATATATATATATATCGCCTTAGCGCCGCGCACCCTTGGTTTAAGACAACTGAAGGTTTTCACAATTTGAGGGCGGGTGGTTTTCAAAATGTGGCTCTCGCCTAAGCGTCGAGCGCATTCGTTTTCAAACTTGCAAGAGTTTCACGGATTGAGGGCGGGTCGTTTTCAGAGTGTGGCTCTCGCCTCAGCGCCGCGCGCATTCGATTTAAACATTTGCAAGCGCTTCACGGGTGGAAGGCGGGTCGTCTTCAAAACTGTGGCTCCCGCCTTCGCGCCGCGCACATTCGTTTGGTACACACTGCAAGAGCTTCACGGATTGAGGGCGGGCCGTTTTCAGAGTGTGGCTCTCGCCTCAGCGCCACGCACAGTCGTCTAATGAATGCAAGAGCTTCACGGATGGAGGGCGGCTCGCTTTCAAAATGCGGCCCTCACTTTAGCACCACGCACACTCGTTTAACACTTGCAGGCGTTTTTCTGATTCTCATGGTTGACGTACCAGAAATAGTGTTTTGGAACGGCTCAGGATTGCCAGGGTGCAACAGTTACGGTGATCCGCGGTGCTGAAGTCCCAGGAGTCGTGTTCTGGCACGGTTCAGGATCGCGAAGACGCAACAATAAAATTAATTCGTGGCGTTGTAGTTCAAACGGACTGTCTCCAAACGGGACACATCCTTCCTTTCCCGCACACAAGGTGCCCAAACACATCTATGTCACAGATGCTTTAACGGGAGCGTCCTTTGGCCTGCTCGAGGACTGCTGCGCAGGCAGCCGCACTTGCGCCACTGGCTGCTCCTCGACGATCGATTCCTCGATCGACCGAACGACTTCCTGGGACTGGCGACGGCGACGCGCAGCGTCGGACGCGGGAAAACGATCCCGGGTCGCCGCTGGAGCTCCCCCGAGGGCGTCTCTCGCCCCGCTCCTGTCGCGCCCCGCGCTGGCTCCTCCTCCTCCTCGTTCTCCTCCTCCTTCTCCTCCGCCTCCTCCTCCTCCTCGTTCTCCTTCTCCTCCTTCTCCTTCTTCTCCTCCTTCTCCTCCTCCTCCTGGGGATCTTCTGACACGGTCTGACCCGGGTCAATCCACACCTGGGTCAGCCAAGCCTTGCAGCATCGTGCAAGATCCTGCAAGAGATCCTGCACCCCCAAGCCCAGGTCAATGACGCAAGGATCCTGCAAGTGATCCTGCAGGAGTCTGCAACCAAGCCCAGGTCAATAATGCGAAAGATCCTGCAAGAAATCCTGCCTGCACCCAAGCCCGGGTCAATGCGACCCGGGCACTGCAGGAGCCTGCGAGATCGGGCGCTCAGGCTGACCCCCGTCTGAATTGACCCCCATCTCTTGAGGCACGGCAGGACCCTTTCCCCGGGACCCGCTTTTCCTCCTGAGTCGTTTTTTGACGGTCCCGGGGCCCGGCGAGGGCCTCCAGAGGCCGAAAACCACGGAAAACCTCCGCCCTGCACCGCTACCGCGCGAGCATGTCTGGGTCCCCCGACCGACCTCGACCTCATACCTCGGTCCTCTGGCTGACCCCCGTTTGTATTGACCCCCGTCCCAAAACTTTCGATAAACCTTCCGCTGCGCGCCAGGGGAGGGGGACCCGGCGCCGAGCCGCGGACCCCGGGGGGACCTCAAAAAATTCGATCGTTCTCCAGCGATCGATCCTCGACGGATCGATCCTCCGCGGTCGATCCTCGGCGATCGATCCTCGACCGACCGACTGATGGCGTCGACGACGACGACGCGATGACGACGTCGACGACGCCGTCGATAAGGCCGACAGCACCTGTGGCCGATCCATCAGGTCGACTGACGGCGACGACGACGTCGACGCGACGACGACGACGATGTCGACGTCGACGACGTCGGCAACACCGTGGACCGAGGGGCGCGAGCAAGCCTCGCTGGTTTTGCCTGGGCACTGCAGCACGGCCAGCTGGAGCGCCTGAGGGCGGCCAGTGAGAGGGAGGGAGAGATAACAGGGGATATGTCGACTCCCATCCCAGGCTTTGGGGGGTTTTCGACTGGACCAGGAATTTGGGGCCCAACCCTGGGATAGGCGATGGGGAGGGGCACCCATCTTCGGTAAGGGTGCGTGCGAACAGCAGTTCCCTGGGGGTGTATCCCAGGATTTCCGTCCTTTCGTGAGCGGTGTTATGCTTCGTCGGCATGTCGGGGGCTGGGGGACAAATCGCCTGCGAAGAAAGAAATAATGAGAGGGAGAGAGAGAGAGAGAGAGCAAACAAAAACAAATGATATAAGTAGTGAGAGAGACGAGAGAGATGTGTTATGCTGTGATATCTCTAGGCCGTGATAGCGAAACGAACCCTCGGGCCACGAATATACTCCGTCACGACGTGCGCCCTTGGCCCGTGGGCCTCCGGGTCAGCGCGGCAGGGATGTGGACCGGTGGTCGTCCACAGGGTAGGGAGGGCAGGGGAAGAGAAATCTGCGTTTTGTCCGAGCACGCAAGAAAGTCAAAGCGTGCATTAAGGACTGGTGGTAAGGACGTAAAACCCTTGGAGGCCGAAGTTGGGATTTGTTGGGGGGCGGGCGGCCAGTGAAAACAGCGAAAAACGGGCCGCAGAAGCAAGGACACAAGGGCACCCAAGATGAAGGCACGCGTCCTTGCTATGCGCGTTGGCTGTGTCACGATGTTTATATGTTGGCTCTGATACTGTTAACTCGCGCGCGCCGTTCGCATCTCAAACCCTAACCCCAGAGGGTTGGATGACGATGCTGCACTATGCAACGCTGCGCCGCTCAGGCCGAAGCAGCGACCCGAGACCACTGTCGCATCGCGATCCCAATTGGTTTCAGTATCGCAGAAGGGGCATGCAACGAGACCAAAGCAGATACTCTGACGTCGAATATTTTTCCCGTGTGGTCAAACCGACCGCTGTCACAGGGCAACCAAATTGCTCGCTGGCGTGGCGCCGCGGTGGGCCCCCACCTGGGACGACGGGCCGCTGCCGCAACGCCCCAAGTCGTCTCTGGTCAGCGGCGGTGGCGCGTCGGCCTATACTTCCCGGATGTCGAACTGACCAAAATTCAGACGCATTCTGCGTCACACCCGCCCCGGCACTATATGCCTCCCAAGGCGCACCTCGCGAAACCAAACAATCATCGCCTGACAATTCCAAACGTTCAGAACGCACGTGAAGCCGGGTTGCATTGCAGCCCCATGCAATAAATCTGAGAAAACATCTGTGATTTCAAAGCGTTGCCAAACATATGTTAGGTCTCCACATGGCGTCGTATGGACGACACGACATGACCGCTACTCTGGGGGGGGGGCAACTCTCCCGCTCCGACAAAACGAGTGGCATCTCCTTGTGCTCCTCCTGAAACTATGGTTTCACACGCATGGTCATAACGCACATCTACGTATGAACTACATATCAAGAGTTGCTGGCGTCGTGAAGTTGGTTCTGGCATATTAGAACCATCCAAATTGATTTCTGGGCCAACACCTCCAAAGCAAACTTGTCAGCTCTCCTTTTCGCAAGAGGCAGCTGTGCTGGGCGCCGCTGACGCCTCTTCCCAAAGGGGCAGGCTATGCGCTCGCATTGCAAGGGCGACCGCCCCCCTCAGGCCCTGGGGCAGCAGGTGCGATATCATTGAATGTTGTTAGCCAACGGACTAATCTGCACCCGAATCAGAAAATCGGAGAACACTTCGAGCCGGGGCGAACTCGACGTCTAGAAGGCGCGACATCGAAAGGGCGCATGGAACAGAGTTCGGGCGGCGTTCCACGACTTTTGAAACGCCGGCCCGCCCGGTGTTCGGAGCAGCGCGGTCGCCTCGACTCGCAGCCCGCCCGCGCGTCGACGCGGGGGCCACTCGAAGGGGGATCAGGCCGCGCGAGAGGGGCCGCAGTGAATGCGGGGGGCAGCGGTGGAACAGCTCCTCTGCCGCCCTCTCTCCCCCTCGCCCTCCTCGCCCCCCGTCGACCGTCGCGCCCCGTCCATATGGCGCCGGTGCGGCCACTTCCCCGTCCTTTGTGCCACCCCCCTCCCCCGCCCGCCGCGGCGGCCCCCGCGCCCTCCGCCGCCGCCCCCACTTTGCCCCCTTTTCTCCCGCGCACTCTTTCGGGCGAACCAGAGTAACCAGAGGTGGAGAGGAGAGCGGGCGGCCCCCACGAAGCGCGCGCCAACCCGAAGGAAATGCTTGCACGCAGAATTCGCGGCGCGTGCGAATCATCAGGTCTCTGCAAAAGGGTGCCGAAGCTTCTCTCCGCCCTTCTCGCGCCCACCCGCCATTGCGTCCTGCCGGCGACGCGCGCGCAACTGCTGGCGCCATTGCTGCCCGCGGCGTCGGTGGCGCCGGTGGTCTCGGTGGCGCTTCTGGTGCTGATGGTGGCGCTGCTGCTGGCGTCGGTCCACGCGGCGCCGCTGTTTGCGCGGGTGGCGCTGGCGACGGCGCGGCTGGTGCAGCTGATGGCGCCGGCGGTAGAGTCGACATTGGCGCTGGCGGCGGCAGCGGAAGCAATGCTGGCTCCTCTGGCCAGCGCTGGCGGCGCCAGCGGCGGGGGGGCCGCGTTGCCGCCGGCGCTTTTCTCGATGCGAACGCAAGAGGCAACTCGCAGAAGGAGAAGGAGGGAACAAAATAGGATGTGGAAACAGGAGCGGAGGAGGGGAAGGAGGCGCCCCGCGAAAACGCCGCCCCCCGCGGCCCCAGGCACACTTCGATAGAATTGCGTCGGCGGCGCGACGGCGCGCGAGCAATTCAAACAGGCTGCGACCGCAATGCACGCGGGCTTCTTGCCGTGGCCCGCGCGCCGGAGGTCAATGTGCTCGCTGTGTCGCGCACCTTCGAAAATGCGGGGCCCGGCGCTGCTCAGGCACGTCGCCGCCGGTGCGCCGTTGGCGCCGCTGCCTTTGGCGCTGAGGCGCCCGCGCGGCGCCTCCGTCGGGCCGGCGCCCGAGGGGGGCGACGGCGAAGGCTGCTTTCTGCTGCTCCCGCTGCTCGCCACGGAAATCCCATCGTCCTCGGGGGTCGCCGGCTCCTGAGGCTCGCCGCGAAGGTCGCCCTCCCTGCCGCGCGACGGAGGTCGCCTCGGCCGTCGACGCGCCCATTGCCGCGAGCGCATCGTGGATGGACTGGACCCCGCGGGCGCGGTCGGCCTGACCCAGCAGGAGGTCGTCAATTCCATCGACAAGGTCCTCAACCGCGAAATCCTCCGGCCCCGCCGCGACCGCGGACATCTCGACCTCCGCGCCCAGGGCGCGCGCGGCGCCCCCAGAGATGTCGTCCGCGCGCTCGGCGTCGCAGTGGCCCATTTGCACATGCGCGGTCGGGTCGCCCCCGCCCGAGGTCAACGCGGCGCTGGCTCGTCGCCGTGCCGAACGAGCTCCAATTATCCGAGCCCCCGTAGATCGCGCTCGGGGCCTGGGTCTCCGTGGACACCCAGAACCACAATGCCTGAATGGCGCGACCGTTGCACCGCGCGTCCGGGGTCTCGAACAGAGGGGGGCGCGATGGGCTCGCTTGCCCGCGGCGTAGAGGTTTCGCCGGGCCGTTCGGCCTGCTGGAGCGGCGCGTGCAATTTCCTCGAGGGGAAACTGGCGGCTGGGGGGGCGAGGGGCGGCCTGGCAGGAGAGGGAAGGGCACGAGCAGTGAAAGGGGGCAGAAGGGGCGGGGAGGGGATCGGCGCGAAGCAGGGGGGGGGGCGGAGGAACGCGAGGAGGATGGGGGCCTGAAAGCCACATGATAAGATGATGGAGGGGATGACCAGGGAATGGGCAGCGCGGGGGCGCGCGGGCCCTTGTCGACCTAGTGCTTGGGAAGGCGCGACAACTGCCCGACGCTGGCGCGGAGCGTCTTCCCCGCGTTCTCAGCAAGAGCGCCCCCGAAATCGTCCACGACGCCTCCAAGAAGGCCCCAATGACGGCCCAGAAGGTTCCCAAGACAGCCCCAATAAAGCCCAAGAGGCCTCCAAAACAGCCGAAATGGCCTCCAAGACGGCCAAGATGGCCCCAAGGTGCTTCCAAGACGGCCCAAGATACACCCAACCCAAGACGGCTTAAGATGGCCTCGAGATGGCGCAAGACGGCCCAAGAGGCCCCCAAGAGGCATCCAAAACGGCTCCAAGGGCGTCCAGGAGGTCTTCCAGGAGGGCCCGAAGAGGCCAAACTCATTGATGTTCCTATGGTTTTGGGAGATTGTGGCATTTGCTTCTTCGCGGCATTCCGACGGCTCAAGACGGCCCACGACGCCCCAAAGATCGCGCAAGAGGCTTCCAAGATGGCCCCACGACGGTCAAAAAAGGCCCCAACAAGGCCCCAAAACAGCCCAAGAGGCCTCCACGACCCCAAGACGGCCTCCATGACCCCCTGATATGCTTCAAGAGGGCCCCCAAATTACCCAAACAGGACCCCAAAACGGTCTCCGACGGCGCCAGACAAGCCAGGGGCGACCTAAGACGGAAAGAGCACCCCAAAACCCCCCGACAAGCCCCCCAAAACCCTCCAAGAAACCCACAGGAACCCCCCAGGAAGCAAGAGGCCTCCCCCCTCCTCCCCCTCCCCCCCCCCCCCCCCCCCCCCCCCCCCTCCCCCGTCGCCCCCGCGCGGCCCCCAAGGATGGCCCGAAGGGGCCTTCCAAGGCCACCCCTCTGCTCCGCGGGATCTCTCGGTTCATCGTGGTTGCGCGCTTTGTTTTCCTAGATGTGTCCCTTCGTCCCTTTTTTCCGTCAGCTCTCGTGGGCAGGGTTTCTGAATGGGCTGGTGGGGGCGCTGTTTGATCGCGACCGCGGCGAAGAAACGTCGGGCGGCGCCCAAGGAATTGCACACTAGCAATGGCCTAAAAGTATGACAAAAGGAACAGGAAGGGCGAAAATCACAAAACAAGAACGACCAGGAGAGAGACAAACAGGAGGCGAGCCTCACAGCTAGAGGAGCGCAAGCAAGAATAACTTCTGGGCGACGTGCAACACTAGGTGGCAACTCAAAAAGCCAACCGCGCCCCAGATTGAGAAGCCCGCCGGCAAGACGAACAGCGCGCCGTGGACCAAGCCGGGGAGCAGCGTAGGACGGCGACCCCCGACACGGAGGAACAACTGGACATGCGCTCAACGGAAAATCCGGATCGCCAGAAACCGAGTGGTGCCGCGGGGAAGCGGTGGAGGCGAGTCCCGACCGAGCTGCGAAGCGAGAGGGAGAGGCCAGAGGGCTGAACGCCAGGGAACGGCGGGGGCCGCGGCCGGCAGACGCCCAGGAGGCGCGAGAAGCGCGGCCCAAGGAGAGGGCCAGAAGGCCAGAAGGGGCAGGCGGCAGGCGAAATGCGAGGCGCAGACCACCAGACGGCCAAAGAGATCCCCGATGGGGGGGGGGCAGCTGGCAGACCGCCAGGGCGGCCAGGAGAGCCCCCAACGGAGGAGGAGGCCCGCGGACCGGCGCCCGGGGCCGGGGGGCGGGGCCCGGCGGCCTCGCGCGCATTGTCTGGGGCGGCGGCAGAAACAGGAAAGCGAAAAGTGCCGCGGGCCAGATAGGAGACCGCGAGGCGCGGAGTAACTGGCAACGAGGAGCGTTGGAGACCCACCGTGAGGAGTACCCCCATGGGGGGTAAGCTCGGATCCAAGTGCGACGGGCCGATGGGGGTTTCTTCGCGGCCTCGCGCGCTGAGGCAGCGCAGGTCTCGCGATGGAGTGCGCGGCGCGACGGCGAAGCAAGCGGCCCGCGCAGCGCCGGCCGCGGCCGCGGCGCCGCGGCGCCAGCGGCGCAGGCGGCGCCCGCCGCGATGAGGGCGCTGGCGGCGCGCGCGGCAGGCCAGGTGGCCAGCGGCGCCATGCCGCGCGCGGCGGTGGAGCAACCGCTGCGGCGGCATTCGCCGCGGCGCGGTGAGCGCCGGCGGCGCAGGCGGCGGCCGCGGCATCGAGGACGCCGGCGGCAGCGGGGCCCGCGGCGGGGGCGGCAGCAGCCCCGCGCCGACGCCGCCAGCGAGCCGCGGGCCCCTCGCCGCGAGCAGGGGCACCCGCCATAGCGCCGGGAAAGGAGGAGCCATGACGGGGCGGAACAGCGCCCTGGGCCGAGAGGGCATCCCCAGCGGCCTCGCGCGCGGAGCCAGGGGGGGCCGGGGGGGCGAGAAGGCGACTAGCGGTCGCAAGGCTGGTAGCACCCAAAGCCACACCGATAGCGAAGCGCGGCGGCTGGGCAGGCGTCGCGCGCAACGGCGCGGCGGCGACGCCCCCCCCGCGCCTCGGCGGTCTCGCGGCGGGGCGCGGCGGAGGAGGGCCGGGGGGCCCTGGAGCAGCGCCTTTGGCGGGCGCGGGGGGGGGGGGGGGGGGGGGGGGGCGACCCGGCGCCGGGGGACGCGGGGGCGCAGGCAGCCAGGAGCAAGGGCGAGCTGGGGCGCCACGGGAGGGCAGGCGACCCCAGCCGGGCGCTCGCCGGGCGGCGTTGGGCGCGAAGCCAGGGCTGCCGCCAGGGGGGCCGCCCGCGGAGCGGGGGGAGACGCGCGAGTGGAAGGCGACTGACGGTCGCAGTATTTGGCAAAGAGAGGAGAGCCCAGGGAATGAGGCGCCAATCGCGACTAACGGTCGCAAGCTGTGTGACCTGACGGCGGGCAGCCAGAGGTCAGCGCTTCGGGCTGGGGGGGGGGGGGCCCTGCGGCCTCTCGCGCTGACCGACGACCCGCGGGAGGGCCGAAGGCCGACGAATGGCAAGGGAGGAACCCAAGCGCGCTGAAAATGCCATGCGACTGGGCACGCGCCATGGGGACATGAAGCGGCGGCGGCGACCCGAAGGCGAGGGGGGGCCGCCGATGGCCCCAGGGCGGCCGCCTGAGGCGGGGGCGCGGGGGGCGTCGCAACGCCGGGGGGCGGAGGGCCACAAATGGCCTCGGAACAAAAGAATCCTGGGAACCCGGGGCGCGCCGCCAGCCCGGGCCCGTCTGGGCGCGCCCTGGGCGGCATTGGGCGCGAAGCCAGAGTGGCCCCCCCGGGGGGCCGCCCGCGGGGCGGGCTTAGAGACGGGCGGGCGAAGTGGAAAAAAAACCCAAAGCCGGGCCCGTCGGCGAGTGGCGCGGCAGGGGGCCCGCGCTCGCGGGAAAAGGAAAGCAGCGGCGGTTGGGTGCGAAGGCATGAAAAGGAGGTTGGGGCGACACGCGGTCGCGTGTCCAGGGGGGGGCGAGGAGCCCGCTGGTGCGAACGGGGCGCTGTGGGGAGGGCAGTGAATGGCGAGGAATTCTATTGTCGCGCCCAGGATTGGCGCGCGCTCGCGGCACGACGTGTGGCTCCCTGGTTTGCCTGCCAAGAGGTGCCGTCAGCCCTGTAATCCTGGCCCTTGCCCTTGATCGGGGAACCTTTTCCTTCCCCACGGTTTGCAAGCCTGTCGCGGACGGTTGACCAAATGACCCGAAGCCGAAGGGCCCTGTCCATAGTCATTGGGTTGTAGTCGCATTGACGCCAGGCCTCGCAGGACCCAGGGTCCTGCTTGGAGGGGTCCGCGCAAACGTAGCCAGGACTGGCCGGGCGCGCGTGCGTCCACTGGTGCCAGATGCCACTAAAGTAGCCCCCGAGCTATTCCTGCAGGCGTTTCGCTGCGGCGGCGTGGCCCTCGCCACCGACGGGGGAGAGTTGGACCTCCTCCAGCGGGGCCCTATACATGCACCGCCCAGCGCGGGGGTCGCGGGGTTGGGCCAGGGAGCCGGGGCCGGGGTTGGGCGAGGTTGGGCAAAGGAGCCGACCGGGCGCACGCGCCCGCTGGGTGCGAACACGGCCCCACGACTCACAGCGGTGAGCGGAGCCCCAGCTCGGCCAATCTGTCCACCCACTCCAATTGCGGCTGTTGGACTCGCGGTTAGAATCGTAGTGCCCCCATGAGCGCTAGCTGTCCCACTGGCCGCCTCGGTTGCCCTCGTCGCGTGTATCCCTATCGGGCTGCCCCTGGGGGGGCGCGTCCGTGGGTGGGCATGTTTCCACGCCCCCGTCGCCTGCCGTGCGCGGGGGCCCCTTCCCTGTGATCCCTTCCCCAGGAGGGGTAGGGGGGTCCCGGGGGGGGGAGGGGGGGGTGTCCGGGGGGGGTGGGGGAGCAGATTAGTTTTTCCTCGGGCGGCCTAGAAACCGCGCGAACACTCCAAATGAGGTCCGAATGCCCAAGATGGCCCCCGAGACGGCCCAAGAGGGCCCCGAGTCGCCCCACGAGGCCCCCACGAGGCTTCCAAGCGGCCCCTAAGAGCTTCTCAAGGCCCACAAACTACCCCCAAGAGGCCCCCAAGAGCGCTCGTCGTCGTCGTCGTCGTCGTCGTCGTCGTCGCCATTCAGGGTCGGCGGCACCAGCCGTAAGGCCTTCGCAATACACACACGCACAACTAACAGGATTCCCCATATTTTTCAAAATTTTGCAGGGGGTTCGTCGTCCCCCGACTTCCCATATGTTCCGAGATTTTCCTGGGAGTCGACGATTAATTGTGTATTTTTGTTGGTTCCTTGCTGATTGATCTTGTCCCTCCCGAGGAATAGCGAACCCCTGCTTCAGGAGCCCTGGCCGCCAGATGTCGGCGGCGAGCGAGGGGCGGAGTGAGAAGGAGAAGGCGCACGCAGAAGGCAGCGGGGTTCCTCAGAAGGCCCGCTCCGAAGGCCCAGTCAAAGACCCCCCCGCCTTCTGCGAAGTTCTCTGTGTTTTCGGGGAAAAGGCTCAGGAAACTTCTCAGAATGACGACAAAGACAAAAACTGCATGAACATGAGCTTTTGGCGCTCCGCCCAGATTTCTTAGATCTGCGGTGCCCCCCCCCCCTGCCTGGCGCGCGGAGCGCGCCAGGGGCGGCGCCGCAGGCGCCACTTGGGGGGGGGGGGGCCTGGGCGCCGACCCAAGAAAAACCCGCGCGGAGCGCCAGAAGCCTATGTTTATGGCGCTTGTCCTCCCTCGGCTTCCGACTTCCTCCCCTCGCCCGCCGCCGAAGAGTCGGGGATGGACAGAACCCCCCGTAGCAAAACATGGCACAGCGAAAGCGACCTCGGGTCCAAGCCTGGCGGGCGCAGGCCTGGGAAACGACGGCCGCGGCGCCCTCTCGAGAACCGACATCGGACAATTCACGAATCGACGTGTCAGGGTGGGGGTTCTGTCCATCCCTAGTCTCCGCCCCCCCCCCCCGACGCTCGGGAGCACACCTCCGGCTCGATCGCCCGCCGGGCCCGCTCCGCGGCGCAGGCCAAGCCCAGGCGCTCGGCGGCCCGGAGGGCCTACGCGCACGCGCGGCGCGGGAGGGAGGCAGCCCCTGCGAGCAGCAAGACGAAGAGCCAGGACAAGGATAAAATCGGATGAGGATAAATTCGGCGTCGCTTGATTGGAGGCCTCCCAGTTTGGGTCGGAGTAGATGAGGTCGGAGAATCGCGCCGCATCGGCGATGCACCGGCGATGCACCGGCGATGCACCGGCGACGTCGGCGATGCATCAGCGACGTCGGCGTTGGGAAACGCGGGCCCCACATCGAGCCGCATCGCCGATGCATCGGCGATGCGGCGCGATCCTCCGACCCCACATACCTCGACCCCGTCGAGGAGGCCTAGATTGATGGGGGGGCGAATGTACATTGGGTGGGGAGACAGGTGCACTTCTCGGCCTCGAAAGGCCCCCATCCGAGGCCCTCAAGGGCCCCTGCATGGGCCCTCAAGGGCCCCTTTTCTGCAGCCCTCGCCGCCCCCCCATTGATCGCCCCCCATTTTACGCGAGACCCAACAAATCGATCATCTCTGGAGCTCCCTGCGGCCACGTGGGCCTCCCTGGAGGAGCCACCTCGGGGCCAGGACCTAAGACGATGCCAGGACGAGGAAAACATTGGGTGAGGGTAAAATCGAAAATATCTGAAGGCCGCCGGCTCTGGAGCATGTCTCGGTGTCGCGGCCTTCTCAGAGCGTTCTGGAACGCTCTGAGAGAGCTCCGGAACGCTTTGGAGCGGAATCATCCTCGTCTCGGCCCAGTCCGAGTAAAGAAAGGCCAGGGGGCCCGGCAAGTGGGGCAAGTTGGCGGCGCGCACAAAGAGGTGGAGGGAGGGGGGAGGGCTTCTTAGAAGAAGGAGGCTGCTTCTTCGAAGGCGCCGGCCTTACATCTATAGATGAGGCCCGCGCCTTCTAAGAAGCAGGGGTGCTTCAAAGAAGCCCCCCCTTCCCCGAACCTCCTCTGCGAGTGGCTGAGCAAGTGCAGAGGAGGGGGGAGCAGAGAGGGTCAGGGCCCTATGAAAAGGCAATGACAGCTGGGGAGGTCCGGAGCCCGGGTAACAGGGCGCCAGCGAGGCCTTCTAACAACTCTCGAAGGAGCTCCGGAAGCTCTTGGAAAAGGAGCTTCCGGAAGAGCTCGACAGCATACGTATTGGGAAACAGTTAGAAAAAGCCTGCCCCGAACACGCTGCCAGCTCGCAGGAGGTGCTGCGGGGATTCGTCACGGAAGCCGGGACAAATTCCGGGGCTGCCCTGCGGCGCCGGCTTCTAATCTCGAAACCCTACTGGCCCTCTACGAGCTACTTGGGAATCAGGGATGCGCCCTCAAAAGCTGAGGGGCTCCTTGAGATTGGTGTCGGGAGAACGCGATGCTGATCACAAGGATCGGGCTATGTTCCAGGCTGGGGACTGGGAAAGAGGAATCGGGGGCGGCCAAGAGGGGGGGGAAGGCAAATCATGGCCGCCAGCATGTGCGCGGCCGAAAGGGGGACCAGGGACGTAACGAAAGAAGAAGAGGCGCCATTAATCTAAGGAAACATCATGGCTCACACCATGATATCCCCCCCACCCCTGGTCATCCGCCCCCACTTGCCGCCCCAGAAAGAAAAGGTCAGCACGAGGGAAGCAACTCCCGAGGGATACGGGTCCCGGGCCCTGGCCTGGAGCCTTCCGCCAGGACGAATTCTCGAGAACAAGAACGACCAAGACCGCTTCCTTCAAGAGACGTTGCCTTCATGGGAGGAAAAAAACAAAAAGGAAGGGGAGGAAGACCGCACACTGGAACCTGGAAGCGGAACTCCTTCTGTTTCTCCTGATCCTGCCTCCCCCTTCCTCCCCCTCTTCTCTTCTTCTTCTTCCTCCTCCTCCTCCTCCTCCTCCTCCATCTGTTCTCCTTACAGAAAACTCCTCCCTGTCGCACCCCGAGGCCGGTCGGAAGGGCGGGCTGGGCGTTTCGCATCAGAGTTCCTCACATTTTATGATCCTGAAGGTTAAGCATTGGCAACAACGTCACATATGGAGAGCGGGTCACTTCCGAAATGTGGCTCTCTCCTTAGCGCCGCGCGCATTCGTATTACACATTTGCAAGAGCTTCACGGATTGAGGGCGGGCCGTTTTCAACATGTGGATTTCGCACTAGAGCCGCGCATACTAGTATCAAACATTGCAAAAGCGTCACGGATTGAGGGCGGGTGGTTTTCAAAATGTAGCTCTCGCCTCAGCGTCGCACAAACTCGCTGTAAGCACTGCAAGAAGTTTCACGGATTGAAGACAGGTCGGTTTTCAAATGTGGCTCTTGCATTCGCTCCGAACGCATTCGTTTTTCTTGTTTTTATTGCACGGGTCCCACGGGTTGAGGGCGGGCCGTTTTCAAAATGTGGCTCTCGCCGTAGCTCCGCGCGGATCCGCTTTACAAATTTTCAAAGGCTTCACGGATTGAGGGCGGTTCCTGTGCAAAATGTGAATCTCGCCTAAGCGCCGCACACATTCGTTTGAAAAGCTTACGGCAATTTCACTGGTTCTCATGGCCATCGTACCAGAACTTGTGTTCTGGAGCGAATCAGGATTCAGGATGCATTAATTACGTTGGTTCGCGGTGTTGAAGGCCGAGGAGTGGTTTTCTGGCACGACTCAGGATCGCCAATATGTAACAGTCAGGTTAAATTGTGGCGTTGAAGTCCTGAGAATGGTGTTTTGGCACGCTTCAGGATTTTCACATGGTTGTCCCCCAATGGGGCAGTTTCCTGAGTGAACATGAATCATTGTAGGGGCCCATGAAGAGGGAGCTTGGAGGGAGGGTGCTCTCCAACACAGTTGATGAGTCTTGGGTTTGCACTGCTCCTCCTCCTGCTCCTCCTCCTCCTCCTCCTCCTCTTCTTTCTTCTTGTCTCCCCCCTGCCTGCAAGTGAGCAGGGTGGGCTATCAATCACGCGCGCGTCGCCTCTCGACTCGTGCGTGCTACTCGTCAGCTTGTCGTGCAGACTCCAACGGCCACACGCTCTGATGGGGTCGTGGTCGTGCGGCCGGATTGACATCAATCCCTGTCTGGCTCTTCGGGCCCCCGCCAGAGGCTCACAGGCGGCACGGAAGATGCAGAAACTCACGAAGAGGAGGAGGAGGAGGAGGAGGAGGAGGAGGAGGAGGAGGAGGAGGAGGAGGAGGAGGAGGAGACTTGCCGGGCCCTGGGACCGTCGAAACACACGGCTCGGGGTGGCCGGCCTGGCCCTATAGGAGGAGGTCCGGGCCTCTGGCGGCGCCACGCCGTGGCAAGGATGACGATCGGTCGGGCGTGAAGGGCCCAGGAACACTCAAATGAACAGACACGCGTCCCAGGATTCCCCACTCGCTGCGCCCCCACTCATCCTCCTCCTCCTCCTGCTCCTCCTCATCCTTCTCCCCCCTCCTCCTCCCTCATCCGCCTCCTCCACCCTTCCTCTTCCCCTTCTCCTCCTCCTCCTCCTCCTCCGCCTCCTACCCCTCCCCGCTCGTTTTCGTCTTCGTCATCTTCAGGGTCGGCGGCACCGGCCGTAAGGCCTTCGCAATAAATAGGCACACGTCCCAGGATTCCCCACATGATCCATGTTTTCTGGATGTGCGTCGTCCCCCCCACTGTCCCACAGTTTTCCCATACTTTACAAGGGATCGAGGGTTACTTTGAGGTCGGGCATGTCTCCCTGCATGTGGATTGTTGACGAAAAATAAAAATACCCTCAAAATGCTAAACAAGATATTCAGAACTAGTCAAAGCATCGTCCCCATACTATCTGACTATTTTTGAATATTCCCCCTGAAGAGGGACACACCCGACTTGAAATTATCTGTGTGTGCCCATTTTTCCCTCCTGAAGGTGTCCGGGCTTTGCGAGGGGGGTGGGGCCCGCCCGAGGCCCGTGACGAAGGACGCCAAAGACCGGTTCTCCTGCCCCAGGTTATGTTGTTCCCATCGTACTTCAGGACCACATCCCAGACATAACTTCGAGCACCCAGAAAAGTGTCGAAACAGTGTGGGGCGAGTGTCGCATCCCAGGGCCCGACACGTGAAAACCCTGAAGTTTCGGTACTTTCTTTGTGCTCGAAGTTCTTTCTGGTGGTCAAGGCTAAGGTAGGTTGGACCATCAGAAGCCCCAGGATCAGTCAGAGCACTGCGGAAGGAAAACGATGACCATTCGACCAGCACTGAACACGAGACCCCCGAGATCCGACGCTCCAACAATGAACTGGAGCGGCGGAAAATTGGCAATGGTCGGCCTCCGGGACCGTGGAAAAAACAGCTCAGGACGAAAAACCGGCCCCCGGGAAGGTGTCCCGACCTCCGTGGCCCACGCATCGAAAAAATTGGAGCAGTCGGACGTCTGGGACCATCGGTGGAGATCTTGGTAATCGTCCATATGGGTCATCGTCAATTCGTGGATCGTCCTCCCGAGCCGCGACGACCGACATGGAACGCACCCGCTGGGGTCCTCGGCGGAGCTCTTCATGGGGCCACGCAACATGTGACGTGTGCGCCTAAACTTGGCGGCACCGCCATTCGACCGCAGCCTCCATGGGGCCGCGAAGCGTGTGCGGGGCGCGCCGAAAGGGTGTGGCGCCGCCATGCGACTGCAGCTACAGGGGTACTCGGTGGAGCTCCCTATGGGACCACGAAAAATCTGAGGGGTGTGCTTCGGTGAGGCTCCCCTATGGGGCCGAGGAGGGAGGAGGGAGGAGGGAGGAGCGAGGAGGGACGAAAACCGTGCGAGGGATGGGCGCCGAAATGAGTCGGCACCGCCATGCGGACTGGCAGCGGTGCGCGTCGGAAGGGCCTGGCAGCAGGGCTGAAACCAGCTGAATGCAGCACCGTCCTCACGCAACCTCCAAGTCTGTGGACAAAAACACACAGTGCGGAACAGAAACACACTGTGGAAACAAAACGCACTCTGTGTTTTCCACAGACTGTGCTTTAAAGAACGCATGCTGCGCTTTTGTTCACAGACTGTGTATTTGTCCCACGCAAAAATGTTTTTTCCACACACTCCTCCCCCCTTTCGTCCAGCCCACTACTCGCCACGTGGTCGGGGGGGAGCAAAAAAGGGCTTCCAGCTCTTCGTGCCGCTGTGGAGCTCCCTGGGGCCACGTGAGCCTCCCTGGAGGAGCCACCTCGGGGCCAGGACCTAAGACGAGGCCAGGACGAGGATAAAATCGGGTGAGGATAAAATCGAGAATCTCTGAGGGCCGCCGGCTCTGGAGCATGACTCGGGCGCCGCGGCCTTCTCAGAGCGTTCTGCAACGCTCTGAGAGCGTTCTGGGACGTTCTGGAACGGAGTAATCCTCGTCACAGCCCCGTCTAAATGACCATCCCCTGCAACTTTGGACCTCCCTGGGGCCACGTGGGCCTCCCTGGAGGAGCCACCTCGGCCGGGGCGGACGACAAGGGCTGATAGACCAGGAGCGGGCGTTGCACATGTTCGCCCGAGAGCCTCGTCGAAGACATGAGCGATCGGAAGTTCTGGATGTGTATTGGTCACACCTGGGATGTGATCGCACTCCGATGGGGCCGTCCGCTACTCCGCCGTCTTCAAGACCGCAGCCAACTCCCGACGAGGAGGCCCCGACGCGCCAACCGCGTGCCGAGAAGAGCAGAGGCCACCGCAGCAGCGGTCAGAAGCTGTCCTGCGGGCGTAGCCGAAGTTTGGGCCACCGACTCTTTGTCGGAAGCCCCAGGCTGTGAAAGAGCGGCACTCCATCAATGAAAAAAACACGACTCGCACAAGCGCTGAAATCGCGAACCCCGCTGGATGGAGGAGCGAGGAGGACGAGGAGCCCTGGGCGACTCGCCCCTCTCTGGGGAAGCCAAAAGGTACCAATACCGCTACTCCCCGGATCTCTCCTGGGGTGCGTTCTGACCAGGATTTCGAGGCGAATCCAGCGGTGGCGACGAGGGCCGCCCAGGAGGCTCAAATAGGGGAAAACGAAGGAAAGGCAGCAGCAGGAGAACCTTTTCCTCCTCCGATACTCGCCCCTCCCGTCGCCTCCGAACCTCGGGGCCAGGACCACCCCCGATGATACTCCCGGGCGCGGGTGCCGCGGCGCCCCGCCTGGCGCCGCAGCACCAGCTCGCCGCAGCGCCGGCCCCAGTCGTGGAGCTCGGGGGGCTCCAGCGCCAGCCTCCCGGCGCACGGGCGACACAGAGGTGGGGGGTGGGCCGAGGAGGAGGAGGAGGAGGAGGAGGAGGAGGAGGAGGAGGAGGAGGAGGAGAAGGAGGAGGAGGAGGAGGAGGAGGGACGAGGAGGAGGAGGAGGGAAAAGACGAGTAACGCAGCAACATCAGCAGCAGCAGCAGCAGCTCCGTAGCCTCGATGGCTTAGCAGGCGCAGCGCTCACAGGATCCAAGGCTCCTCTTTCTGGTTACGGTATCGGACGGAGGAGGCGCGTCAGTAGTTCTGGCGCTGTGCTGCGAAAAAAACATCGTCGATCGAGATTGAAGCCTTCACATTGCAGCGAACGTGAGGAGAGTGACGGGAGGAAGACAGGAGGGGATGAGGATGCGGAGTGACAGTGAGGAAGGGGGGCAGGATGGAAGAAGATGGGGAGGAGCGTGGCGGAATGGGTAGTATAGGATAGAGGACCGATCGCGAAGCGAAGCCACGTTACCCTTACCCTCCCTACGGCTGAGTTTTCGACCCGACTTGAGAGAAGTCTACTTGTATTTGGGCCATTTGCCGTTGGATGGTCCAGATATAGGTGACACGCTTGAGGATGGGGGATTAGCAAACCTTAGACATGCCCCTGATATACTCACTTCCATGACACCCACACGCACTGCATACCCACGACTTCAGAATGATGGTCGGGCAACGTGTGGCCGTGGGGTGTCACTCCACCTCCGATGTGAACCCTTTGAACCTCCAGCAATCTGGCAAACCTGGCATCCTGAAGGGCTACGCCCACGCACTCGCTGCAGTCAACCCCTACGTATAATAAGGCTGCGCTTTAAGGATGCACGGGCCTTGGAAGGCACTGTTGACGTTTTTTCGAGTGGGGCTGGCCAGCGAAAGCTGCCAGGGATGGGCCGAAGGGGAAAGATGCAAGGGTGACCTTGGAAAATCGCTCATCCTTTGATATGCGGGTTGACTGTACGTCCACGCGCTCGCTACTCCGCCATGGCATGAGCCGTGCCTGGGACGTAGTGGCACGACTTGGCGGCGCGAACAAATGGGTATGGGGAAGGGGGGAAGGCTTCCTACAAGGAGGCTGCTTCTCAGAAGGCGCCAGCCCTACCTTTCCACAGAAGGCCCGCACCTTCTAAGAAGCAGAGGGGTGCTCCTGAGAAGCCTCCCCCCCTCCCCCTGGCCCCCTGCGCGTGGCCGAACGACACCGCAGGACACTTCCTACGAGCGCATCGGGCACAGAGCGTCGGCGTTCCTTCGGGGCCGCCAGCACGTGGCTTCCCGCCTGCACCGCTTCGAGGTTGGCCTGGAGCAGCCGGCGACGCACCGGCCGTGCCGTGTGCTCGGCCGACATGGCACGAGCCCGCGAGACCTCGTCGACACGAGTTTCTAACGCCACTGGCCCAGCCAGCTTGTCGACGACTGCCTGGCCGAGAGCCAGCAATTGCGGACACCTTGAGCGAACCAGATCATTCGCGTCCTGGTGGAACGCCGATTGCAGCACGGTGCCGTCCTCGTCCTTCTCGTCGTCGTCGTCGTCGCCGTCGCCGCCCTCGTCGTCGTCGTCGTCGTCGCCGCCGCCGCCGCCAGCATCGTCGTCGTCGTCGTCGACGACGTCGCGGCATCGTCGTCGTCGTCATCGTCGTCGTCGTCGTCGACGTCGCCGCGGCCGGCGGCACCGCCGCCGCTGCCGCCGCAGCCGAAATCTTTGCACGCACGGGAGTGTCCGTTGCCCCCCTTCGGGGAAGCAACACGCTCTGGGTGCCAGCCTGTCATCGCTGCACTGTTGTCAGTGGCACAGGTGGTTGGCCCGAGGCACGGACCAGACAGGCCCAGGGAGTGGGCATCGGAGGGTTGTGCTTGACTACACATGGGCGAAACTTGGCCACGGAAGCAACCTCTGCGCCGACCCTTCAAACATGGGCATGATTGGACTCAGGGCCCCCACGCGCGTCTCTGAAGGGAAGCACTGGCTCCGCACGGGCCCCCTGCCCCGGAGAGCCCAGCCCCAGCGGGCCGTCGAACCCACTGTTGGGCCACCCGCGTGGACGAAGGGGGAGAGGGGACCTCGGTCCAGCTCGCTGGCAAACTGCCGCGGAGTCAAAAGCAGGCTTCTGACTCGCCTGGGCCGCTCGGCAATCCGACGCCTCGGAAAGTACCCGTGCTACGCTGATTCTGACGCATCCTTGCACGGAGGCGCCCATAACAGAGGAGTCCGGAGCAAATGCAGTGCAATCGCTTGTGGCTTAAGCTGTTGCAGTGCAATCGCTTGTCGCTTAAATGGTTGCACTGTAAGCGTTTGCCGCTTGAATGGGTTCAATGCAGCCGCTTGTCGCTTTAACGGCTGCAACGCAATGGTTTGAGCAATGCGTATGCCCAATGAGATTTGGGACCGGAGTCATCATCTTGCAACCGACTATGGTCTTTGGTGGGTAACCATGTTGCGAAACATTCGACACACGGCAAAAAAACGACTGCAATGCAACGGTCTCTGGCCGTGGCTTGGCAAAACCACTGCATTGCAATCGTTTGCGGTTCGGTTCCACGTTGCAAGACATTGCATTTCAAATCAAATCAAACACACGACTGCTGCACGCGCGTATATGCATACTTAATCGACTTCGCACCTTATGTCACCAGTACCCTAAATCATCGCCCGGTCGGGCCTCTAGGTCCTTCTACTAGAGAACCTCTGCGCTCTTGGGAACCTGGGGCAGGTGGGATAGTGTGTCCCTCCAGCCTCTTCAAGAATGTGCTGTCGTGGCCAGGTGTCCCCAGCAGCTATACATAGCATCGTTTCGGCGAGCTGGACTCTCGGGGCCGACTCCAGGATGCAAGTGCGCTGGCCGTTGGACCGATTGTCGGCCCCTCCCCCCAACCCGAAGGAATTGGATAGAGGAGACGCCGAAGAGGCCGAAATCAAGTCCCAAGAGGCCCCGAAGAGGCCCCTGAGAGGCCCTCCATGAGACCCCCACAGGCATCCATGAGGCCTCAAAGCGCGGTGGCCGGATGGGCCGAGGTCTACTAGATCTGCCGACCCTGTCGATTCATCGCAGGGGTGCCTGGCGTGCTAGATCCTTTCGGTTTTGGTTTTGGTTTTGGTTCTTCTTCCACAAGAAATCCCCCTGGGGCTTCGGCCCGTCCCGCCGGCCACCCGGAAGACCCGGTTACAAACTGTGTTTCTGCCCCAGACGGCCCCAAGATGCCCCAAGATGGCTTCCAAGACGGCTAAGATGGTCCCAATATGCCTCCAAGACGGCCCAAGATGCACCCAAGACGGCCTAAGATAACCTCAAGATGGCCTGAGACGGCCCAAGAAACCCACAAGAGGCCTCCCAGACGCTCCAAGAGGTCCTCCAGGAGGGCCCGAAGAGGCCAAAATCATTGTTTTTCTCAAGGTTTTGGAAGGATTGTGACATTTGCTTCTTTTCGGCCTTCCGATGGCTCAAGACGGCCCGGCCCCCACGATCGCCCACGAGGCCTCCAAGATGGCCCTCATGACGGCCCAAGAGGCCCCCAAGACGGCCCCAAGACGGGCCAAGAGGCCTCCAAGACGCCCAAGATGGCCTCTGAGACGGCCCCGAAGCGCCCCAAGAGGGCCCCGGCGTCAGACGTGCCAGGAACCCACCAAGATGGCCGAAGTTGGCTCGAAGCTGGCCTAAGACGGCCCAAGAGGCCTCCAAGAGGGTCTCCAGGATGGCCAGAAAAGGCCAACAACACTTATTTTCCTTAGATGTTTGAAGGATGTTGACATTTGCTTCTTTTCGGCCTTCCGACGGCCAGAGACGGCCCAAGAGCCCCCAAAGCTCGCCCCAAGATCGCCCAAGAGGCGTCGAAGAAGGCCCCAGAACGGCCCAAGAGGCCCCCAAGACAGCCAAAGAGGCCCCCAAGACGGCCCAGGAAGCCTTTCAGACGCTCAAGATGGCCTCCAAGACGGCCCTGGAGCAGTCCAAGAGGGCCCCAAGTCGGCCCAGAGAGACCCCCCAAAACGGCTTCCGACGGCGTCAGACGGGCCAGGAGCCCACCAAGACGGCCGAAGATGGCCTTCAGATGGCCCAAGTCGGCCCAAGAGGCCTCCCAGAGGGCCTCCAGGATGGCCCGACAAGGCCAAAATCATTGATTTTCCATGCGTTGTTGAAGGATTGTGACATTTGCTTCTTTTCGGCCTTCCGACGGCCCGAGACGGCCCAAGTGCCCCCAAGGATCGCCCAAGACTGCCCCAAGAGGCCCCCAAGACGGCCCAAGAGGCCTCAAAAACGCTCAAGATGGCCTCCAAGACGGCCCAAGAGCCCTCCAAGACGTCCTCCCAGAAGGCCCGAAAGGGTCAAAATGGCCTCCAGACGGCCAAGACGACGTTCAAGATGCCCACGTGTTCCCCGAAGGCTTTCCAAACCGATTCGGGGAACACATGGTCCGATAGCTTGGCAGGTCTGGCCTCAACGTTCGGCCACATAGGCGCTTCCGAAAAAGCAGGGGGCGGTGGTGATTCGCCGTAGGCATCTTCAATCCGCTGCCCCCCGTTGATTCATCACAGGGGTGCCTGGCGTGCTGAACTCTATCGCTCCTGGGGCTCCGCCCCGTCGGCCGGCCACCGGAAGGCGCCCAATTCTCATAAACAAATTCCCAAGGTGGCCAAGATGGCGTCCAAGACGGTTATGATGATTCTAAGATGCCTCCAAGGCGGCCCAGGATGCAGCCAAGACGGCCTAAGATAGCCTCAAGATGGCCCAAGACGGCCCAAAGCGAAGAGGCCTCCAAGACGGCCCAAGAGGTCCTCCAGGAAGGCCCGAAGTGGCCAACCTCATTGACTTTCATATTGTTTTTGATGGATGTTGGTATTTGCTTCTGTTTGGCCTTCCGACGGCCCGAGACGGCCCCCGAGCCTCCAAACATCGCCCCAAGATCGTCCAAGAGGCGTCCAAGAAGGCCCCAGAACGGCCCAAGAGGAACCAAGAGGGCCCCAAGACGGCCCAAGAGGCCTCCAAGACGCCCAAGATGGCCTCCAAGACGGCCCTGGAGCACTCCAAGAGGGCCCCAAGTCGGCCCAGAGAGGCCCTCAAGACGGCTTCCCAACATGCCCCCCAGGCGGCCCAAGAGGACTCGATAAGCGCTTCCCAGATGGCCGCACGAGGCGAAAACCACTGATGGTCCGTGGTTTTTGTGGTGGTTTCGAAGGTCTCGAGACATGACGCTTCATGACATCCCGAGAGGCCCCAAAGACCGCCATGAGACCCAAGAGCCCAAGAGGCCCCAGCGAGGGCCCCAAGACGGCCTAGGAGAACCCCAAGACGGTTCTAGAAGCGCGCAAGACGTCCCGAGAGAGCTGCAAGACGGCGCCCAAGAGGGCACCACATTCAATACAAATTTGCAACACAAGCCGCTTCCTCGTCAAGGACGGCGTTGTGATAAATGGGTGTTGAATTGTTGGGGCTCCGGGGTCGGTCTGGGAGCTCCGTTGGCGCCCCTTTGGGCCCTCCCAGGCCGTCCTCCAGACCTCTCTTGGAGGGATTTGGGAGTCTCAAGAGAGCCCCAGGAGGCCCTGCAGATCTTCAGTCCGGAGGCCCCAGAAAAGCAAAACGTGTCCCAGAGCGTGCAATCGCCCGATCACGTCCACAGACGACGACCACCGCCACCACACAGTAACCTCTACGACGACCACCACGATGATGATCGCGACGGCGGCGGCGGCGGCGAGGGCGGCTGCGGCGGCGTCTGCGGGGGCGGCGGCGGCGGCGACGGCATGGCGGCCAGGAGCCTCTGGGGCCCTCCTCGGCCACTGTGGCAGTCACGTCACTTCCGCAGTCTGAGAAACAATCGGAGCCTTCCAACGCGTCGCGCGTCGATCTCGCACGGCTCCGCGACCGCCCACCGAACCATCCCCCAGAAGGCCCAGCATTTTCACGCGCCAAGGGCGGCCCTTACCTGGGGAACCTCTACCTGGGTATCTTGGGGTTCGTGGATTGGCGCAAGGTCTACTGACAACGATCATCTAAAACCCAAACGCGCGCGCGCGTAGCGCGCGTGTCTCTAGTACATATCTGTACAGATATGTATAGATCGCAGACCTCTACGGCGACTCGCCGCCGCCCCTGCCTTTCAAGATGTGCCTATGTGGCTCAACGTTTGGGCAACATTTGGCCACGCTACTGGACAATACGCTTCCCCAACACTAATGGAAGCTCTTCGGGGGACCCGCCAGGGAGGAAGAGGAAAGGAAAAGGAGGATGAGGATCGGTGGCGAGCGAGGGGGGGAAGTGAGAAAGGGCGGACCTTCTCAGAAGGCTCGGAAGTCCCCCGGCCTTCTGAGAAGTTGTTAAAGCCCTTCCCGAAGATGCAGAAATAACTTCTCAGAAGGCGCGAGGGCTTCTGAGAAGTCCCGCCGCCTTCTGAGAAGGCCTTGTCCTTCTCATTTCCCCCCCTCGCTCGCCGCCGAGAGGAAAATGATGACGAGACCTAGTGGAAGCTTTTTCGCTCATGCTTGGGGTCTCCTGGCAGCTTCCTGGGGGCTTCTTGGAGGCCTCTCGGTGGCCTCCTTAGGCCTGATGGGTGGGAGGCTGAGGAGGCTTTTTCTGAACCTCTGTGGGCCGTCATACGGGCGTTCCTGGCCCGCCGTCGGGGCCGAGGCCCCAGGGAGAGTTCTCTTTGGAAAAAAACAGAACCAAGAGCGATGGGATTTCGCTCGCCGGGCACCCCTGTGGCAAGCCAACAGGGGGCGGCGGATCGAAGACGCCTACGGCGAATCACCGCCGCCCCCTGCGGCCGAGTGTTGTGGCAAGAGCTCTGCCAAGGACTGTGTGTTCCCCCAGCCCTCGTACCTTTGTAGAAACCCTTCGGGGAACACTTTGGGGAAGATGGCGGGGAAGATCAGGAGGAGGACTGGAATGGAATGGAATGGAATGCCCTGAAGGGGACGTGCACGGCACTAAGGTCTGATCAAATCAGATCTACTAGCCAGTCAGTCGGACTTCCTTACATCGAATGTGTGCCAGCAGGGCCGCCATTCTCTGCTCGTATGCGGGTACTTCCCTGGAGACAGGAAAACCTACTGGCACCACTGTCGAATCAGGGGTCGACTCCGAGGGGGCCGACTCCACCGAGGGGGGCGACAGGGGGGAGGCCAACACTACGGCCCAAGAACGCCCGTACTCTACGGTTGGGCGGCTGACCCTGGTTATGATGTCGAATCACCTCCTGACCTTTCTTAGTGGGCTTGACGTCAGAGGAGGCATCTTGGGCGCCGCTGGGGCCACTCTTGGGGCCTCTCTGGGCCGACTTGGGGCCCTCTTGGGGTGCTCCAGGGCCATCTTGGAGGCCATCTTGCTTAGGCGTCATCGAGGCCTCTTGGGCCATCTTGGGCCACTCTTGGGGCCGTCTTTGGGGCCTTCTGGGCCGTTCTGGGGCCATCTTGGAAGGCCTCATGGGCGATCTTGGGGCGACCTTTGGGGGCGCGTGGGCCGTCTCGGGCCGTCGGAAGGCCAAAATCCTTCAAAAACCTTCGGAAAATCCACGGTTTGGGCCTCTTCGGGCCTTCCTGGAGGCTGTTGGAGGCCTCTGAGGCCGTCTTGGAAACCTTTTTGGAGCCTCTTGGGCCGACTTGGGCCGTCTTCGAGCCATCTTGGGGCGCTTGGGCCCCTCTTGGGACCGTCGTGGGGCGTCTTGGGCGCCTCTAAGGGCCGCTTGGGGCCCCCTTGGACCGTCTTTGGCTCTTGGGGGCCTCTTGACCAGTCTAGGGGCGGCATTGGGGGGTCTCTTGGTGGGACGTCGTGGAGCGCCGGAAGCTAGAAAAGCCGAGAACCCGGGAACACTGACAAACCTCAGGAAACTCAATGGTTTTTGCCTCTCGGGGCCCTGTGGGGAGCGCTCGTCGAGTCCTCTTGGGCCGTCTGGGGGCATTTTGGGACGGAGGGCTCGGATTGTCGATTCGGACAGCTGCTCTTGGGCCCCTCTTGGGGCCGTCGTGGAGCCCTCCTTGGGGCCGTCTTGTGCCCGTGTTGGGCCGTCTTGCGACACTCTTGGCCCGCCTGAAGGCCCTCTTGGGGGCCTCTTGGGCCGTCGTGGGGCGGTTTTGGGAGCCCCTTGGGACGCCGTGGAGCCTCGGAAGCTCGAAGTTCGAGAGCACCACAAGCATTGAACACCTCAGCAGGATCAGTGGTTTTTGATTGTTGGGTCCCTCTGGGGAGCGTTCGTCAAATTCTCTTGAGCCGTCCTGAAGCTGACTGGGGCCGTCCGCAAGCCGCGCGGGAGATCTGGAAGACTTCAGGCGGTTCTCGGGCCTCTGGAGAGGGCCCCCAGGGAACGCGGAGCACCCATGACGACACGAGAGAGGTGGGACAAAGCCACCGACCCTGTACCCCGATCTATATTTGTGTTATGTCTGTGTTGTTATTATTAGTTTGTGTTGTTCTCTCTCTCTCTCTGTGTATATATACACATATATGTACACATATTGAAAGGGCGGGAGAGAGAGAGAGAGAGAGGATAGAGAGGGCGAGACTTGGAGCTACGCGCACGTGTGCATTACCACTTTCTACAGTTATGTGCATACATAGAGAAAAAGAGAGAGGGAGAGAGAGACAGACAGAGAGAGAGAGAGAGGGAGGAGCATAGGCCGTGCTGTTTCATGATGACAAGGACCAAAGGGAGAGCGAGGGGAAACAAAGAAGAGCAGAGACCGGGCGACAAAGCAGCGCTGGGCCTGGCCCGCGGCGTGAGGCCGAACGGCCGCGACGACATGCGCTTCAGGTCGAAATACAGCTGGAGCGGGCGGGAGGGCGCGCGGGAGCGGCGGCGTGGGCGAGGAGGTGGCGAGGGCCACGACGACGGCAAGTAGTCGCTGTCATCGCCGTCGTAGTCGCCGCCGTCGTCGCCGTCGTCGCCGTCGCCGTCGCCGTCGCCATCGCCGTCGCCGTCGCCGTCGTCGTCGTCGTCGTCGTCATCATCGTCGTGGGGCGGGTAGGCGCGCTCAGCTGAACAATTTTGCGCACGTGTCTGGCCATTATGGAAGATTTGTCGGGCCCTGGGCTGCTCTCCGTCAGCTGCGCATCTCTCGCCGAAGCACCACGCGCCTCGGCGAGGCGCAGCGAAGGCACACCTCTGAAGGCGAACTTCTGCTCGGAAGGCAATGTTCTGGCCGAAAAAAAAAAAACCCTCAGCAACAAAACGAATGCTGTTTTTACTCGGGGGTTGGCAGGACTGTGTTGACTGGGACTTGGTTTAGTGTCGTGTACCGGGGGGCGCCACCCCTCCCCATTCCACTAACAAGAACTGCCGTCACCCGAGAAAACACCTACTACAGCAAATCTGGCTTAGAGCTTCCAATCCACATATTGAACTTCGGGGCCGAAACACTAACCCGTTCACCTTGACCGGGGTCCTGGCTACACCCGGCTGAAACACAAAAACCTTTCAGTAAAACAAACAGCAGGCCCGGCTTGGGCGTCGCTCGGATGGGGAGGCGATAGATGGGGGCGGGGGGAGAAAACCTCTGTGCAGAGCGGGTCACTCGCGCGCTCTGCTGGATCCGAAGCAAGGCGGCCGCGCCCGGCCAAGGCGGCGACGCCGCGATCCAGCGGCACGTCCAGGATGCCGTCCGAAACGGCATCGTCGACGCCGTCGCACTTCTTGACCTCGCGGGCGACCGCAGCCGCCTCGCCGCCAGCGCCGGCCCAGGACGCGACCTCTGCGCGGAGTGCGGGGCCATGCTCGACGAGCCGCGTCGCCCGGGCCAGCGGGGCGATCCGCGAGGGCATGTCCACATGGAGGCCATCAAACCAAACTTGGAGACCAATATGCTGGAGCTCCACCTCGGCGAGCTGCTCTGGGCGCGCGTCGATCGACGCCGCGACGGCGCCCGCGACGCACTGGTCCAGGACGCGGGCGCGGGGCAGCATCGCGCTGCACAGTGCGACCCCCGCATCATAGTCGAGCGCATGGGCGACGATGCCACGGCGCAAGGCGAAGGCGGCCTGCTCGTCACAAGCTGGAGGCGCTAACCGCATCATCTCAAGCGCGTTGTCGGCGAGGCGGATCGCCCAGTTCAGGCGCTCTCGCGTCTACTCTTGAACAGCGGCGGCGTAGAGCGGCATGGCCTGGTCGCCGCGCGCCTCCGCGCCGAGCAGGCTCAACCCGTCGGGGCGGTAGGGAACGCGCGCCGCGAGGGCCCGCGCGTCTCCTGGGGGTGCCTGCAGCGGGGTGCCGGCCAGCGCGGGCACGTGGAACGCGCATTTCGCAAGCTGCAGCGCGAGGTCGCGGGCCGCCGAAGCCGCCTCCACAGCGGCGAGAAGCTGCGCCGCGATCGCCAGCGGCACTTGGAGCAGCCAGTCGTCGACGCACAACCAGCGGCGAATCTCAGGCCGCCTGCGCTGCAAGCGCGGGGTCATTGACGACGACGCGCCACGCCGCGGCAATGGCCATGCAGGAGGCGGGATGACCCTCCTACTTCCCCTGGATGAGGCTGCCGTGGATGAGAAAGGAATGCCAGCCCATCCCATCAGCGCTCAAGAGAAACACCTCGACCCGGAAGTCCCACCAGGGCATGGCCATGGGGACGGCCACCATGAGCGCCTTGACAACGGCTGCTCTGAGGGCATCGGCTCAGCGCACGTGGCCGAAAGCGGTCTTGATGTCGAGGCCGACGAGCTCATGTTGCGGAAATGCCCGCCCTGCTGCCCTGCCTCCGCGACCTCCAGCTGCGCGCCGGCGCAGCGACCAGCCCCGTGCCGGCGCTCCCCGACCGCGTCGGCGACCTGCATGCCAGCCCCCAGCAGGCACGTCCCCATGGCAAACTTGAGCAAGGCCTCGCCTTGCAGGATGGTGCGGACGCTCTCGCACAGCGCCGTCTTGAAGAACGGCAGGGCGAGCGCTCCAGACCAGAGGCTCGCGAGCCACGGGCTGATGGCGCCACGTGCCCACCGAGAGCTCCATTCAGCGAGGGCGCGCGGCCCGTCTGGGTCGGAGTAGGCGCACAAAATGTAACTGTTCCGCCAGCCGCTGGGCCCGCATCCGGCCGCAGGTTTGATAGCCGCAGCCTGGCGGCCGACGAGGCGCAGCGTGACCTTCGAGCGCTTCTTCATGGGTATGGCCGCCGCCGCAGCGAGCGCCTCCCGCAGCGCCGACTCGTCGGCCGGCTCGAGGGGGTCCAGACGCCCTCGCCCGCAGCAGGTCCGAGAGGAAACCGAGGGCTTCCGACGAGGATGTCACGCCCTCCGCGTGCGCTGCCATGCCGGATCTGCATTGCCGCTGCCTCTGTCGGGGCTGTGGGGCGCCCCTCGATCAGCGTCGCGCGACGAAGGCGGGGTGCGGGGAGGTCCGCGACGAGCGCGCGCAACGTCGAGGTCGTGGAGCAGATCCGTGAACAGCTTGGCCCACCCAGAGGTTCCTCGCACTCAGATTCTGAGTGCGTGGATTATGTTGTCAAATGAGCTTGATAGCATAACCTGCGTTTGATAACAAGTTGTACGCGCATAAACTGTTTTCTGCTACTCGTGTAAACATATAGTGGCACAAACAACTATACGATAACACATATAACTCACCTGTGGCGCAACCGCGAGCGCCTATGGCGCCACGGGCGAGTTGCGTTTGGTGCGGGAGTCAAAATGACAACGGAGAGGGAGAGGATCAGGAGGAGAAGGAAGACGAGGATGAGGAGGAGGAGAAGGAATATCGCAGCATAGCATAACACAGGGCATCATAGCAAAGCCGCTGGACTGCATAGCTTGCACCACGCATATTGCACTGCATTGCGCATGACATAATTCCGTTGCTTGGGGTCCAAACTGGCTACAAAGCGAAATTATGTTTGGGGTCCGAGCTGCAGCCATTTTGGCCCAGGCCCGACGCCATGCCCGACGCCCTGCGTCGACGCCCTACTTCGACGCCCTACCCGACGCCCTACCCGACGATGTCGCACACGCCGCCCTGCCCGCCCCCAGGCGTCACCCGCAGCCGGTCGCCGCGCGGGCATGAGGCGGCCATCGCGGAGCAGGCGACCAGTGCGGATCGGGCGGCCAGCGCGGATCAGGCGGCCAGCGCGGATCAGGCGGCCAACGCGGAGCAGGTCACAGTGCCGACAGCATCGCTGAGGCACTGGACGCGCCTCCCAGACAGCCCGATGCAGGCGCTCATGGCGGCGCTGGACGTGTGCAAGGTGGCCGACGTGAAGATGGCGGAGGCGACAGATGCCCTGACGAAAGCCGTCAACGCCAACAATCAGCGGACGAATAGCCTGGATGCCCTGACGAAGGCCCTGGAGGAGAACGAGAAACTGTCAGAAACCATATGCGAGCTGACGATCCGAGTCGAGTTGCTCGAGATGAAGATCGCGTCTCTCGAGGCCCGCATCCCGAAGGACGACGGTAAGGGCGACAACCAGGGCGGCGACGCCGACTCCAAGGGCGGCAAGGGCGGCGGCGCGCCGAAGGACAACTGCTCAAAGAAGACTGGCGACGACTACGCCAAGGGCGGCAGCGGCGACGGCGCGCCGAAGGACGACAACTCCAAGAAGGACGACAACTCCAAGAGCGGTAGTGGCGGCGACAAGTACGGTTTGGACTCCGACGAGGCCTCGATCTCCACCTTGAAGCAGTGCTTCCTCGCCTTGCCCTGGCGTCGCCGCGATGACAGTGGACGACTCCTGGGCGACGAGAGCACCGACGAGGGCAAGGGCGAGGGCAAGGACGGCAACACCTACGATGGCAAGGACGGCATCACCTACGATGGCAAGGACGGCATCACCTACGATGGCAAGGACGGCGTCACCAACGAGGGCAAGGACGGCATCACCTACGATGGCCATGACGGCGTCATCTCGGAGGTCAGCGACGGCGCCGAGCAGCAGGGCGACATCCCCTACGACCCCGACAGGTACCTGATCAGCAGCATCAAGAGTGGGCAGGACTACTTCGATCGCGAGGCGAAGGCGGCTGATGAGTTGCTGAAGCAGACGTTCGCAACATGCGCGTAGTGCAAGCTCAGATCATTCCTTTCGGTTGACTGGGCTGCGTGGTCTGCGGGCGGCCCGTATTTCGCAACTAGGCCGAGCGCCTACACCAGCGCCGACGTCATCACCGACTGAGCGCCTACACCAGCACCAGCGCCAGGAACACGATTGTGAAAGGGGTGGTCTTCGTCGTCGTCGTCGCCGCCGCCGTCGCCGGCGTCGTCGTCGTCGCCGCCGCAGCCGTCATCGCCCTCGTCATCGTCGTCGTCGTCGTCGGCGGCGGCGGCACGAGACCTGTGCCGCCATTCAGCCATGCTATGCTCGGATGTTCGGTATCGCTGTGCGTTTCGATGCCATGCTATGCTATGATATGTTATGCGGCATGTAAGCTATGCTATGATTTGCTGTGCTATGCAACGATCGATCCATTCGACGCCCGGTTCGACGCGTCGATGCTGCATCTAAGTCCGCATGCTCCGATGCTCGTGCTCACGACGGGCGGGGCTCTCTCTCTCTCTCTCTCTCTCTCTCTCTCTCTCTTTCTCTCTCTCTATATATATATGTATCCTTCCCCTTCCCTCCCTAGCGTCCTCCCCTCCCTTCTCCCCCCCTTGCCCCATCCCTCGTTCCTTCCCTCCCCGTTCCCTCTACCCCCACTGTCCCCTCCTGGCGTCTCTGGGCGGAGGTGGAGCCAGAGAGGGGGTAGTGTTCTCGCGGTCGGCTCGGCTGACGGTTGCCGAGGAGCACTGTTCTGTTCTCGCGGCGTCAGCGTGCGTGGATATTTCGACCCATTGTCGCCGTCTCGCTCATCTGTCTCATCCTCCTCCTCCTCATCATCCCTTCGCTTCTCCTCCTCTCCCTCCCACTGTTGCTGCGAGAGGCGAACATGGGCCATATGCACATGCACATATCCCCTCTGGCAGGGGAGGCGCCCCCGAAGGCGCAAAGGCTGCACCTGCCGAAAGGCAAATCGCCAAAACCAGAAGAAAAAAAACAGAGGAAAAAAAAAAAAAAAAAAAAAAAAAAAAAAAAAAAAAAAAAAAAAAAAAAAAAAAAAAAAAAAAAAAAAAAAAAAAAAAAAAAAAAAAAAAAAAAAAAAAAAAAAAAAAAAAAAAAAAAACACGAACGCAACTTGCTCACACATCGAATACCGAATTAGGCGGGGCCGTCGAGGTCAGACCCCGACGAAGGGATATCCCAGCTGCTGTCACGGTGATTCACGAAGTCGCACTTGCGGTCGGCAGAGGTTGAGCCGCCCTCCAGGTTGAGACGCGCGATGTAGTTCGTCTTGGGCTGCGCGACCTCAGAGTTCGGGCAGACTGGGCGATCTGCCAAGTAGTCTCCCTCGCTGCCCTTCCAGAGCTTCACGTCGCGGACCTTGTCGCGAGTTGGTTCGAACCCGAGCTTGCCAAGGAGCATCTGCTTCAGGAAGCGCACTGGGGTAGGCAGCTTATCGCCATAGGCACCATACACAAACCTGCACAGCTTGATGACGTGGTGCTTGGAGCCGCGCCTGAGGTCCATCACGTAGACGGCCACGTTGAACGACTCCGAAGTGTCAGCGTCGGCGTCGTCGTTCTCGTCGTCTAAGCTGTCGGAGCTGAGGTCCTTGGTATGATTCTTCTGGAACTCGGCGATCTCCTCTGGCGTCTTAATGGACACACAGTAGCGGTCGCCGTAGAGGCCGCCCCTGGGAAGTGCAAGTTTACCATCCTTCTGGCCCTGCGCGTGGTAGATGCCGATGGTTTGGTTGCGATAGATCGTCATTGTCTCCTCGATCCTGTGCTTGATCTCCTTGATCTCGCACGCGTCCTCGAAGTCGGTGTTCGTGCCCTTCTGCGCCCAGAATGCGTGCCGGGAGCCCTCCTTGTCGCCCAACTTCAACTCAGCAAAGTAGGCTGTTACTTCCTTCATCTGGTGGATCTGCGAATCGCTGACCAGGGCAATAGCCATCTCCGTCGCTGCGCGGGCCAACAAGCGATGACTCGAAAAAATGAGCCTAAACAGCCACGCGGGCCAGCTTGCTCGAAAGCTCGTTTGGATAAGATAACTGCGTCGATTGGTTTCTCCTCCTCATCCTCCCCCCCCTATTATCCTGCTCCTCGCCCTCCCCCATCCTCCCCCCGCCTCTGCATCCTGCTGATTGTCGCATTTCCCGCCCCTCTCGTTCCGGCTCAACTCGCTGGCGCGACCGTCGAGAGCTCGGCTCGGCTCGCTGGCGGACTCCCAGCCCCGTCGAGCGCGTGGGTTCTTCTGCGCGCCATCGAGGGAGAGGGAAGTCGACCTCGCGCGCGGCGGACGTCGCTGTCGACCCCTCCTCGAAGCGGGAAGGCGAGTGCGACGACCCCCGCGCGGGAGATCAACCTCCATCTGCCCTCGCGCATGGCAGCGATGGCGCGGCGGCAGCCGTGCATGCGCGGGAGCCGAGGCTCCGTGCCCCAATTTGATGCGAGGGAGGTGGGATGAGGAGACGGCGCAGGGGGAGCGGGAGATGGGGAATGGAAGGGGTAAGCGGGGGAAGGAGAGAGGGGGGGGGGGGCGCGGTGAATGGAGAGAGGACGAAGCGGGTAGCATATTAGATTGACGCGCGCATCGCCGATGCATCTGCGACGCTTCCCAGCGCCAGTTCGATTTGTCGCGCGCGCACGGTTGATGCATCGCCGATGCTGTCGGGGAAGCCACCAGTCCCCCCAGGCCCGCGGTCGACACGCTCTTTCTCAGCGACGCGTGAGGTCGGGCGGATGCAGCGCATGTTTGCACACGGGCTGCAGGTTGAAACCAACAGGGCGCCCAGCGCCATTTCCGCAAATTGTGCAGCAGCTAGCAGTGGTACTTCCCATGCCCCCCATATCATGCCGCACCGTCTGCCCCGTCCCCGATCAGTTCAGCGCGCACTCGCCCGATCGATTCGACGTCCGTTCGACGCGTCGATTCTGCGCCTAAGTCGACGCGGTTCGATGCTCGTCCCCCGCCCCCTCTTGCATCCGGCTTCCCTGCTGGTCACGACCACCCCTTCTTCGGAAGATAGCGCGGCGCCGTGCGCTGTCAAACTAGCGCGATTGGCACCGTGGCGACCACGCAAAGATGGGCAGCACGCAATCCAACATCTAAGCCACTGATGACGCAGCCTTTGAAGCATCCGACACACGACTAAGTAAAGCGAGGGCCATCGCGTGGCAAAACTCAAGGGGGTATTGCTCGCTCGGGCCCTGGCGGCTCTTCTTCCCACCGATCCACTTATCGGCTTTCCAGCCCTTGCTGCTGCCGTCGGCGCGCTTCGACACAGCGCGGCG